TAGAGTTAAATTTCTCCAGTCACCTTGAGGCGTCCTGTTCTACATATCTACCAAGTTTAGTAAAAATCCATATGGCGGTTAGGCCTAGATAAGAAATGAGCTCTCTAGCGCCCCCATTTTGTTTGATGGGGTCAATAATGGAGGGGTCCCCTCAGATTATGTGTGGTCATATGCCTACAAAGTTGCGTGGTGATGGGTGAAACCCTTGAGATGTTATACACCTTTATGTGATGAGCCACGCCCTCCGCAATATTCATTGCCTTATAGAAGCTCAGTTTTAGTAAGTTTTCCAACTTTTGCCAAGAGGGAACTTTAGATATTGGTCCCTAGATTATGTTCACCCAGTTTCATGCAGATCGCTCAAACTTCCTAGGAAGAGATCCATTTGAAGTGTTTTTCAAAAAATTCAAAATGGCGGAAAATCTATATAAGCGGAAGTTATGGGTTCTTGAGGCAAATGTGTTCCTCATGAGGAGAGGCATCTCTGTGCAAAGTTTCATGTCTCTACGACATACGGGGCATGAGATATGCCCATTCAAAGTTTGACATTTCAATGGGTTGCTATAGCGCCCCCCTTTGGCCAATTGATGTAATATTGCTTCATTGGCATCCTCCCATGACCCTCTACCACTGTGCCAAATTTCACATGGATTGACCAAGTCAGTGAGGAGAAAAACGTGGAAGAGACACACACACACACACACACACACACACACACACACAGAGTTTTCGTCATTATATAGTAAGATATAAGATTATGACTTTTTTTACATGACATTTTTATGACATCCATACTTTAAAAAAAAAAAAAAAAAAAATAATGGCATTTGGTTAAGTACATTCATTCAGTAACAACAACTCACATTTTCACACCAGAATTTAAGTATTTAAGTAATTTTGAATTTCTCCTCAGGGGGATTAATTAAAAAAAAAAAAAAAGTAAATAAACTTAAACTTAAACTTAAACTTAAAGTAGGGTTGAAATGAAATGGTAGTGAGGACATTCTTCCGTCATTTGTGTCAGCTCATATTGGTATCAGATTGTGAGAAATGAGTTGCAGCAGTTCAGAAGTGGATATGATGATTTGAAGTGTGATCCTGTTGTGGTCCCAGTCTTCCACAGATATGTCAGTAAGCTTTGCCGACTGGATGAAAGCTGATGTCTCCCTGTCTCTGTTCTCCTCTGATTCATTGGAAATTGAGGCAGGTGTGAACGGGATGGTAATTGTCTGTGTGATCATATTCTCGTACCTCACTGATGTTTAGCTCCGGGAAGTCATTTTCTGCCTTTCATCCCTTTCTGTCACTCTGACACTGATGGAAAGTGTATTGACAGCGTCCCTCAGTAGAGCAGGTAGTGGTCATGGATTGTTGGAGCGCACCGAGCACAGAAAGACAATAGATTACATTAACTTACACAGGAGTGAAGGCCAGCTCGATGCCAGTTCATCAGTGGACTGAGACCGTAAATGACGATGGCTGTGAGGTGGGCAGGGCCGTGGGGATCGATGTCATATCTCAGACAGGAGCTTGTCGCAAATGTCCAGTAATTTTCCAGATGCTAAGATTGTCACTCTGTCTCACCTTGTCAGCGATAACACTTTGGAGGATAGTGGTGGGTGTGTGTTTTTGGAGGTCATCTTGGGAGAATGTGACTAAATACCATGAACTCCAGCTGGGTTCAGTTAAATTCAGCTCTCTTCCATTATGAACACACACACACACACACACACACACACACACACACACACTTAAGTTTAATTATGTTGATTGCAATATCACTGTGATGATGATTTATGGTATAGTATGTCAAAAAATGTTGTAAACAAGTCATAGTATAGTATGCCATAAAAATGTCATATGCAATTCAAAGTATAGTATGTCAGATAAAATATCATCATAAAGTGATAGTGTAGGATGTAATAAAAATGTCATGTGACAAGTCCTCGTAAAATTTGTCATAGAGATGTCGTAGTATAATGTGTCATAAAAAAGTCATGGTACTGTAGGCCATGAAAAATTGCATATAAAGAGTCTATCATATCAGTATCATTGTATAATATGTCATGAGTAATACATAAAAATATCAGTATTCTTTGTTATAAAAATGTCATAAAAACACATCACAGTACAGTACATCTTAAAAGTGTCATAATATAGCAAGTCAACTATAGGTTGTCACAAAAATCACTAAAATGTTAAACATTGGCATTAAAATGTCATGGAAAAAATTGTATGGCATAAAAAGTATGGTATTAACACTTCATAATCTAGTAAATGTTAAAAAAAAGACATGATAGTGTGTGACAAAAAAACTGTAAAAAAAATTGTACTTTAGCATGTCATTAAAATGTAATGAAAAAATCATAGCAAAATATGTCATACAAATTTATAGTATAGTATACATTTACAACGTCAGAGTATAGTGTGTCACAAAGAAATTACATAAAACTGTCATAGTGTAGTATGCCAGAAAGGAATGACACAAAATATCATAGTATAGTGTGTTATAAAAATTGAAAAAAAAAGAAGAAATATTTTCACTTTTTTAGCATAGTATATTGACTTGTGAACATACTTTATCATAACATTTCTAACAAACTATAGAGTTTTAACATACTGTACCATGACTTTTTTTACATACTACACTATGACTTTTGTAACATACCATGCTATGACTTTTTTTTTTTTAATTTATTTTTTTTTTATAATAGTACAGTTTTTGGCGTACCATACTTTGACGTGTTTACCATACTATACAATGACTTGTTTTTAACATACTATGATCCTTTTTTGACATACTATACTATGATTTTATTTAGTATACTATACTATGACATCTTTAACCGTTCTATACTAGTGTTTTTGATTTTATGTACACTATATGTGACTTTTTTGTAAGATACTATGGTGTTTTTTTGGGAATACTACACTATGACTTTTCTAACATCACTTTGACCGTGATGTTTTTTGCATGGTTTTGGACAACATACTATACTCTAACATTTTTCCCTGATTTTGAACTACATACTATACTATGAAGTTTTTTCATGGTTTTAGATGATGTTCTATACTATGACTTTTTTTTCTGGTTTTGGACTACATACTATACTGTGACCTTTTTTTCATGGATTTGGACAGCGTACTATACTAAGACTTTTTTTCAAGGTTTTGGACGATATACTATACAATGACTTTCTTTCATGGTTTTGGACAACATACTATTCTATAACATTTTTTCATAGTTTTGGACATCATACTATACTATGACTTTTTTTCATGGTTTTGGACGACATACTAGACTATGACTTCTTTTTCATGGTTTTGGACGACATGCTATACTATGACTTTTTTTCATGGTTTTGGACGACATACTATACTATGACTTCTTTTTCATGGTTTTGGACGACATACTATACTATGACTTTTTTCATGGTTTTGGACGACACACTTCACTATGACTTCTTTTTCACAGTTTTGGACGACATACTATACTATGACTTTTTTTCACGGTTTTGGACGACATACTATATTATGACTTTTTTCATGGTTTTGGATGACATACTATACAGTGACTTCTTTTTCATGGTTTTGGACGACACACTATACTATGACTTTTTTTTCATGGTTTTGGAAGACATACTATACTTTGACTTTTTTTCATGGTTTTGGACGACATACTATACAGTGACTTCTTTTTCATGGTTTTGGACGACATACTATACAGTGACTTCTTTTTCATGGTTTTGGACGACATACTATACTATGACTTTTTTCATGGTTTTGGACGACACACTTCACTATGACTTCTTTTTCACAGTTTTGGACGACATACTATACTATGACTTTTTTTCACGGTTTTGGACGACATACTATATTATGACTTTTTTCATGGTTTTGGATGACATACTATACAGTGACTTCTTTTTCATGGTTTTGGACGACACACTATACTATGACTTTTTTTTCATGGTTTTGGAAGACATACTATACTATGACTTTTTTTCATGGTTTTGGACGACATACTATATTATGACCTTTTTCATGGTTTTGGACGACATACTATACAGTGACTTCTTTTTCATGGTTTTGGACGACATACTATACTATGACTTTTTTCATGGTTTTGGACGACACACTTCACTATGACTTCTTTTTCACAGTTTTGGACGACATACTATACTATGACTTTTTTTCACGGTTTTGGACGACATACTATACTATGACTTTTTTTCATGGTTTTGGACGACATACTATATTATGACTTTTTTCATGGTTTTGGATGACATACTATACAGTGACTTCTTTTTCATGGTTTTGGACGACATACTATACTATGACTTTTTTCATGGTTTTGGACGACACACTTCACTATGACTTCTTTTTCACAGTTTTGGACGACATACTATACTATGACTTTTTTTCACGGTTTTGGACGACATACTATACTATGACTTTTTTTCATGGTTTTGGACGACATACTATATTATGACTTTTTTCATGGTTTTGGATGACATACTATACAGTGACTTCTTTTTCATGGTTTTGGACGACATACTATACTATGACTTTTTTCATGGTTTTGGACGACACACTTCACTATGACTTCTTTTTCACAGTTTTGGACGACATACTATACTATGACTTTTTTTCACGGTTTTGGACGACATACTATACTATGACTTTTTTTTCATGGTTTTTGACGACATAGTTTACTATGACTTTTTTCGTGGTTTTGGACGACATACTATACTATGACTTTTTTTCATGATTTTGGATGACATGTCATACTATGCCTTTTTAAGCGCCCAAAATCCAAAGATATTGAAGCTGGACCTGTTACAAATCAAAAAATAGTCAATTATTAATTATGGAAGTTGTTGAACCTTGACAAATTCTACATCTTGCATGTCTGAAAGTGAACATCACACCACAACTCTCCATCACTTATTGTCATTTGAAGTTGCAATCAATAAATTTTAAAGACACGACAAGACGACTGATTTTTACAATATATTTAATTCCATTTTTTCTTACAAAACAATTCCCTCATAAACCAGAACACACAAAATGCATAAAGAAAACTGTACAGTCAGTTTTGTCATGTCTGAACGTGTTCTAAACATGAACAAGGTTATCTACAACAGTGGTTCCTATCAATGTCTATCACACCAAGCGGTTCAGCTCTGCAGCCCCCTTACTTGAGGGTTCAAGGAGAGGTACAGAAATAGTCATGTGACACTGAAGGTAGATCCAAACAAACAACATGGGCTAGCCAATAATGAAGTTATATCAGCAAGCGCAGGTGCAGTCTCTTTGTTCTTGCTCTCCTTGGCTCTAGTAGCAATGTCATACTGCTGAATCAACCTTAAGAGATAAGCGGACGGACGTGACGATGACAGGGCGAAAAAGTGACTTTTTCACAAGCAACTGTAAACCGTATGTGACTGTGAGAGATCACTGAGAGTGGTCAATGATGATCATGTTGAAGGTCTATTTTCATTACATGCATGTCTTGGAGATGTCCAATACTGTAGATGGCTCCATTAGAGCCACTGGGGAGTGACTTTGGATGGGATAGTGACTTTAGGAAGCATCAGAGCCTGAATTTTTTAAAAGTAAGTTGACAATTCTTTTTTTCAATGATACAGTGAGAAAACTGGGCTACCAATTCGACAAATTTCATTAAACATAAATGTATGTCAGATAGTATATTCTCTCCTCAGTGCAACAGTGGTCTATCATTAAGTCATTGCCTTCAAAAAGTTCATTTAGCAGGCTTTCATGCCAGAATGTATTTTCATGGCAGATTAGCAGCAAATACCTAAATCACACACAAGAACAACAAATCTGCTTCACTCCTGTGTTTAACTTTTTCTTTTCTCACACAGCGTGGCTTCTACCCTACACATTGCATCGCATTAGGGGAGTTACAGGCACAACTACATATTAGGAGATGATGGTTAATATTTAATTTGGGCTGCTGTTTGTGTCAGGGTAAAAAAACAACAACACATGAGCAGATATACTCCATTCAGGAAACTCCAGTTAGACTTACAGTGGTACACTTTTCTTAGACGGCTCCTTTGGACTTGGTCTGTGGACGGCCTTCAGAGATAAATACGAGTTCAATTCCACTTCTTTAAAACAAATTTAATGCACCAAGAAAGAAAACAGTCAACTGCAAAATCCTACAGGCTGTGAGTATTTGAGCACAAACTGTATGTACAAGAGAGCTTCCAAAGACTATCAAGAAAATATTTCCTCTTTCCATGAAGGGACTGAGCATTAGTGCTTGTTTCCATAGCCCATGATTTCTAGGTGATTTAATTTATTGGTAAAGTTCTGGATTATGTCTTATGTGTTGCTTCTCACTGATTTGTGCTGGCAGTGAAAGCTAATTTAAAAACAGATTTAGACAGGCTGACTATATTTAGAACACAGCAAATTCCAGAAATACAATGACGAAGGGCGCTAGTTTTCTAAGTATGTATGTTTTCTAATTTCAAAATTAGAAGCAGGCTTATTCATGTGATTAATTAAATGCTTATTTTGGTAAAATACAAAATTTGTCTGCTACAGGAATCAGCTTTTTGATCTATCTTAAATGTAAAATTAGAAAATGAAAACATCTGTACCAAATGGCGAAGGCGGACCTTCATTTTTTAACTGTAGTTTGAGGTTTGGAGGCTTGCAGCATTAAGAGAAAAAAACAAAACAAAACATTGCCCCAAGACTGGCACCCATTTTCAGCCAATATCTATGAGCCATCAAGCGGGATGTCCGGGCCAAGTATTCACGTACAGACATTCAGCACTACTGTCAAGGGGCAGAGATGTTTGAGACATTATAATTCCAGTAATTTCTGATAACATTATTACATCCGCAGAGAAGCAGCAGCATTGTCTTGCTGCTAATGGACCATCATTATAATGATTAGTGCAAATGGCAAAAGCAAATTACAAAGAAGATGATTGGAACACAGAGAGAACATATCTGCTATTATGAAGGACGAAGAGCTGCTGGTGTTTATTCGGTTACTGCCTCAAGACAGATAATACCGTTTTTTTTTTTTTTTCAAAAGTAGGTATACACTTTCAATGATAGTAATTATTAGGAAACCTTTAAAATTATGGTCATTTTTGTAATTTAACAGTTGATAATTATTCCTGGAAATAGGATGAAGGTAAAACTGTATGTAATGCTAATGTCTTTACAATGTAGCCCTACTTTTCAAACAGGGTACTAGGTTTTGAGATACAGCACATTTTTTTTATCTCAACTATCCAGATACAAATGACAAATCCAAAATATAAGCTTTGTTGCTGACTAGACGTAACTAATAAAAAGATATTCTGTTTGTCTTACAGTCTTTTACGTAAAGCTGAATAACTACCACACGGTAAATGGAGTCTACCTGCCTAGGAGTTTGATCTTGATGCATGGCTCTCTGGGAGGATGTACAAATGCTCACAGCCAGTCAGATAGTGGAGTTGATGCCACTTTGGCACGGCCTCAGCATGTGGGGTCAGCGTAAACTGGAATCATTACCCTGAGGGAATCTGCTAAGTGGCATTTTCAGGCTCGGCAGCACAGAGTTGTGCTGTAGGTATAGAATAAATGTGAGAGACAGCGGGGGACAGATTATACCATTGCAAGAGACCAAAAGATGTACTGTTCATTTCTGGTTAGGCTTCCTCTGCGAGCGAAACATCCATTGACGACGGCTAATGGACCAGTTGGGCTCTTTGGATACACAATGTAAATAGAGGGTATTACACGTGTGCATAAAGCCAACCTCTGCCGGCATGAGGAGAATGAAAGCTTTCAGAGGGAGGATACAGTACAATACCATGACAAAGGCGAATAAACAGATGGGTTTGGTAGCTTTTAAAAGGACTCAGAACACACATACACTAAAGGCAGACAGGACAGACGGACAGTTTGTGGTGATTATATGCAGCACTGGTGAAAACGACAAACATTGTTGAGATAAACAAAATCAGAAAGCTTTTTACTCTAAAAAAAGTGAGCATTGTGCATAGTTCATAGTTCGTTAATAACCCCTCTTCAGGTACCTATTTGCTGTGATAACATGGAAGGAAGTGCAATAATGTACAATTCTGTATAGTTAAGTGCACATAGATCACTGTTGCACTGAACGGCATTGACACTTTCTCCCAATAGAAATATCACAACAGGGTTTCTTAATGTTTTCTCAATTACTCTATTTTTAAGTGTACTTTTGTTACAATAAACCCAGGCATGTATCCCTCTTGCTCAGTCCCAGGGTTGAGTCCACAACTTATGTTCACATAAATCTTTATAGTAGGTAATTTGGCCTGATCTTTCCTTTTTTTCATTTGCGTCTGTCCCTAATCCTACGTCTCTGGCTTTCTTTCTTTTCTTTTTTACTCATACCTCGCCGACCCAGACAACTGTGTTCCCTCTCTTGATGTCTGACACCTCGCAGTGCGGCGTTCTCTGTTTGCCATTCAGGACAAAGAGGGACTCGGCTGACGGCGTCACCAGGTACTGTCCGAACAATCCACTGGAGACCACTACTCTGTTGGGGCCTCCCCAGGGCCAGGCTTGGGGGGCCAGGGGCTCCTTGAGGCTCCGGAGAACCTCAGTACGGCCCGAGGACAGATCGGCAAATAGCAGGTCCGTGCCTGAGCCTGAGGTGGCCACAACCACATGCTGGTTGGACTCTGTGAAGGACGGCTGGAAAGCCAGATCGGAGACAGCTACAGGCTCGTCCAGTTCCTGGTTCAGACCCAGCTCCCCCTGGAAAGACACGGTCTGTACTATCAGCTTTGAGCTCTGCGGGTCAGGTGTCACAATGTAGCGCCCGTCTGGTGACACAAACGGCTGCCCTGTGATGTTTAGGTTTGGACCAATCACCGTGTCCGTCACGCTGTCGATGAGGAGCTGGGGCGGGGCTTGCAGGTGGCTCTTGCTCTGGCACTGGACGAAGTAGAAGCCACTGAGATGTGTGTAGGCCATGTTGACCGGTATGCAGCTGTAGTTCTTCAGGCTGATGGTCTTGACCCGGTGGAAGGTCTCCAGGTCAATCTTGTGTACCGCAGGTTCATTTTTGAGGAAGACAAAGGCAAACCTAAATTGACAAAGTTCAAGGAAAAGGTTAATAGCCTTTCTATATTTTCGGGGACAGTGATTAACACTCATCGAGATTCTCATTAGGATTCTCATTTGCTCTTTTCTCCTTCACTTCAGAAGGACAGCTGTGATGAGTGAGCAATGAGGTCGCCTGTGCTTTAAGGTTAGAGGTGGCAGAATGTCTGCGTGTGTGTGTGTGTGTGTGGGTGTGTGTGTGTGTGTGTGCGTGTGCGTGCGTGCGCGCTGTTTTACCTCACATGGGTGATGATGAGGTTGGTCGGAGGAATGAAGAAGTCGTTGACCCTCTGGAAAGTCGTGCGGATTGCATGATGTACTTCTCCGACACTGGCTTGAGGAATTACCTGTGGACACATAACAGCGTGAATATTAAATATCAATACAAAGACATAAAAAAATAAATACGTAGAGAGAGAAGTTTTATATTTTTTCATGTTTTGTTGGCAGCAGAGATGACGTAAAATAATGAGGACATGGCTCAGAATATACAGGGAACATTTCTACTCAATGTCTTTAATTTGGAAAGTAATCCACATGAACAAAAATTATTTTGAATCACAAAATGAAAAACAGAATACAAGACATAGTTTCTGTATGTTGTTAAAACCACTGTAACATGAAGACTGAGGTTAAGTGTAGAACCAGAGCAGTCAGCCAGGCTGACATTTATCCCAGATGAATCTGTATTGGTGAATATGCCAATTAGTGACAAGAAATTGAAGTGCACAAATGTCAAAGAAATGTTAATTAAATGTTAATTTAGAAAGCGTTTCTCAATTATATGGTTTGCCCACTGCAGAGCACTGTCAAGCTTATATCTTCACTGTAACAAGAGTTAAACTAATTATAGGGACCCTTATCATAAATGTGCGCGCTAATACAAAATACCTTTTTAAACTCACAAGTATCATCATTGATATACCCAGGGTTAGGGTTGAAGGAGTGCTTTTTGATATTCAGAGCATATCATGATTCAGAGGTTGTCTGCACACGGCTCTCAACATGGAGGTGGCAGAGCTAGCAGCTAACCGTGCCAACAGCGTAAGCAGTGGTAACAACATGAACAGTGCTGACACAGCTGAAGGGACACTACGCTTCCACGACAACACCTTATTAGTGGTCACTGCTGTATAAACATGGCGCAGAGCAGCGGTGATAAGCGAGCCAAGGCTTTCGTACACATCAATTTGTGGCAACTCTCCACGATAACATCTGTCGCCACATTTTGATTTTCTATTTATGGAGCTGAACTGTTCAGTAGGAATACTATATTTACTGTTGAGTTATTCATTGCATCACACTCAGAGCACAGAATGTACTCTGGGCACAGACGGAGCAGCAGAACGTTAGGCGCAGTGAAAGTGAAACTTAACCATTTATTGCACCTGGTCTAAAAGTTTGCTTTCACTCGGCTCTGCAGCAGCTGCTCCTCACATCCATCAATCTGATCAGCTCTGATCAGATGAACTGATCAGTTATCCATCCCACAACTCAAACTGTTGTTGAGGAAAAAACACAACAACTCATGAACAGTTCAAACCGACCTAGTGGAGGTGAAGGCCAACTGTTATGTTGCCTGTGTCTTGGCCAAAAGTTGCACCTGAACACACAGCAAAGACTACAGCCAATGGTCAACTAGCACATACGTTCTGTGCCTGCTTAAGAGGGAATCGCTCTCCATAGCAGCAGGTGGTCAATAGGTAAATAAGGACACTTAATGACCATTAGGACAGATTGAAGATGCTAGTTAACCAGTTGGTACACTAACAACACAACCTATTACTGAAAACAAACCAAGGATATTTACGTGTGCTAGTGAACAATGATACAAACAATTACAAACCATTTCTGCAAAAGAGGTCACGGCTAAAAACATAGTCTTACCTAACATATCAAGTTTGACCCTAGCTGTCTGTTTACTTTCCTCATTTCAATTCATCTTTTAATGCTCTGAGCTGAACTGCCAATCAGAGTGCTCATTTAATGTTCTGTAAAAAGGTTCGTACTCTGCGCATCCAAAAATGTGCACGTAAAATCACCATCAAATGAATGAGACACGCACATCGGTTGATTATGTTCTCATCACCATGCGTATGTTGGTGAATCAGAATCATTCTAAATTGACAGGCGTGTGTTTGCTATTTGCAGTCAGCATACTGTCACGCCTCACGTCTCTTTACAAGGAAATCAGTTTGCCCAGAAGTATATCCTGGAAAAAGCGGTGAAGCTGTTTCTATGCATATATTACGGCCCTGACACACCAATGTCAGACCATCAGTGAGCGTCTGTGAATGTGAATAGATTACAACACACACAGAGGTAGCGTGCGTTCATTCCCTGCTCAGGACGCCATTATTCCACTTTATGTTTATGTAGCAAATGGATGTTTGCTGCTGTATTAATGCTCTGAATATCGTAAAGTGCTCCTTTAAGTGTCCTGCTCAGAGACGATCTGATTGTTGTGATAGTTAAACCTGTGACCTTCTAGCTTCATTGCCATGAAGGCTCATATCTCAGGTCTTAAGAGCCTGGACTTGTTCCCCTGACATGTCCATATATCCTGGAACAGATAAACATCTACAGTATATGACTTGATGAAACATGGCCCCATCTCAGTTCTCTGATAAAGCATCTCATTCAAAGATGGTTGTCTTAGAAGCACACACAACAATAAATGCTCCATCTCTCATGTCATACACCTGGCACTGAATCAGCATATTTGCACAGTGCAAGGAGGGGGCTAAAAAGGGTGTGCACACACTCCGATGGGCTCCCAATGCACCCCATTGTGGATGACACATGCTCCATCATGCATGCCTGCATGATCAGGTCACAGTCAAGGACAAGTGAGGTTGTTTATGGGACCCACACATGTGAGAGTGTGCATTTATTAACTTCATCATCTCCTCCTCTCCCTACAATAGGCCTGTTTTTGTCATTTTAGGGGGGACAGGGGATCTTTAAAGTGAGATAGCATGTCAATGGTATATGCTGCATAGTAGTGGTATGCATCAATTGAAAGCAGGGAACCTGAAGATTAATCTGAGATGAAGCTCACTGACAGCGCACTGTCTGACATTTTCTTTTTGTCATAAATATGGAATAAACACTGTTTTGTTTAGGTGCCTATTCAAACTTTGAACATTTAGTGTGTGAGGGCTTAGAACAGTATGATGGAAGTATTTGATGGCCATTCACATGCTCAGTTATGTCTCATAAGCAATTTTTGGCTGGATACTAAATGTTACACAGATGTGTTGCAAAATTTTAGCATTTTTTACCACTCAAGAACTGATAAAAATGGTCAAAAATCCCCCCTAAAATACCACATTAAGAGACCTTGCGGAACAGCATGGATTTTTTTTATGCTGCTCCTCCTGATGTGATATCAAATGCCTCCGACATTTTGAGATTTTATGTAAGAATATCATTTTTTGGGGGGATTGGATGGCTAGCACTTCTCTTCTGGAAACTGCTGAGAACCCCTCTAATTGAAAATATACCTATGAAAGCCATACATCCTCTGAACGCCCTAGACCTCTAGTTTGTTTAGAGTTTCCTGAGGCTGCGATTCTCCAAGAGGTCACAATAGGTCATATATATTTTTATATATAATAGTTTAATAAAATATGGTCTTACTACTAGGGGTGGGTGATATGGCCCCAAAATAATATCACAGTATTTCAGGGTTTTTTTTTGTGATATGACAATTTAGTAAAAATAAAAAAAAGTTATTAATAATTTAACAAAATAGAATTGCAAAAAAATAAGTGATACAGTTTTACTGTTTACAGTTTTGACTGTGCCCATATTAACATGAACTGGATGATGTGGCAGTGCAATAAAATAGCCACTACAGGGGCTACTATCATCACACATTAATAAGATTGGGCTCATAGAATCGAAAACAGTCTCAGCTTCAGTCATACCCAAATTATGCAAATCCAAGTTACCAGTTTGCAGAAATATTCAAATACACTAGGTGAAAGTAACATTTGTACTGCATGCCAAAAACTGCATAGGACAAGCATAAAGTGGGTATGTCTCTAAAGGGCAGACTCATGGGCACCTATTGAGCCCACTTTCATTCAGATATCTTGAGGTGAGAAGTCAATGGACCCCATGTGACAATGGCCGTGCCACTTTTTCCCTCGGCACAATTTTGCCTAACTTCGGAGCATTGTTTAACCCCCTCCCCTTCCTGACTCCAGCTTTAAACCTCAGCCCTCTACAGCCTCCAGAAGACAATAATGTTGGCCGGGAACGCTGTCATCCCTGCGGAGTTTGAGAGGTTAAAAGCAACCAGTCAACTTCTGCTCCTGCTTCCGCAGTAAAAGCAGCTCTTTTTTCTTCTGATTTTTCAGACTTTATATTCTCAGAGAATCTCGGCTTATTGAAGCAGCTCGAGGTTTAGACAGCTAAGCAAATGTTGCTGGAGAGAGTATATAGACTATTGTTTTAAAAGGAAAGAACTAAGTGTAAAATCTATTTTGATGTCTGCACCTACGCCACTAAAGCTGAACCTCTACCTGATGCCCAGTGGGGGGCCACACTCCACACTCTTCCCTCAGAACTATCAAATGCAAGGAAATAAAAATAGCACTTTAAGTTGCAGAGTTGTTACTTTTGCTACACTGCTGCGATGCACCTCAAAAGCTCTCCCTCTCTCTCCATCCTCCTGACTAGCTCATCCATTTTTAACAAAATAGATCTGCCTGTTTTTCACTGCTTGTGAGACATAAAAAGAATCCTCATTAAAGAAAAAGGCATTACAACAGTTGCAGAATACAATGACGGGAGTTAATGAGGTTCAATGTAGTATCGCTCATGTATTATTAGGCAGCCTCTGTGGTCTCCAGGGCTGCAGGTGCTCTAAACTTAATGCCACTGGCTTCTCTTTGTCATCGCTCATGCTTGGATTTCATATCCACACACTCAGCAACGAGGCCCAATTGAGTTTTACTCTGCCCCTGCCTCGCTGGCTGCCCTAATACCTGAGGGGGATTTGGTTCTGACTGAGTAGCTTTTGCTTTTCAACAACATTCACTCTGCAGAAGCCTTGAGTAGCTTTTTCCCTTTTTTAACTTCCCATCCAACTACAGAACACCCATATAAGATGGGACTCCTCAAATGCTCCAGTGTATTTGTGTAATCCAGAAAATTCAATAAATCTTACAAGGCACTTTAATATTATCCACTGCAGCACATGTTACATGATTTTTTTCCTCACACACTGTCAGAATTACTTGTCTTGTTGCTCCTGGGGAGCAATAAAGTATAGTATGGATTCCCTAGAAGATTCAAAGGCTTGTTGCTTGAGATCGATGCAGAATTTTAAAGCTTGAATTAATACTTGGTGGTTATTTTTTACTCTCCGAGGTGTAAATCAGTTTTTTTTTTTAAATGTATGCATACAAAAAGGAGAGAGATGGTTGCTGATATACAGATCAGATATTTATGTGTTACACTCCAACACTAAATGAATTCCATTAGTTGCCATCCAGTGTCATCATCTTACATCCTACAGTGGTAGTGCAATAAAGGTAACAGGCCAGAATCAAACAAGGAGAGACATGGTGTGGGTCTTAACCACCAGGCCACTAGATGCCCTTGATTACATTTGTTTTTTTAGACTGTTTTTTCTATGTGAAGTTATTGTAGAATAAAAATAACATTTGAGAAGTTTGGCTTCTTTTTTCAAAGGTTTTTGGCGATAGGCGATAAACTGCTTCCCATTGCCATTAGACCAGAACCCTGTACATGGCTCTGTAGTAGACCAGTATGCCTTTCTGTTTTATATTTATTTATTTTTTCTCGTGTGTCACGCTGAATGTCACAAACGTGCCAGAGAACAGGTTAGTTACAGTAGAAAGCAGCAGGGAGGCCAGTAAAAATGTTACGATGGTTACTTATTTTTTAAATCTCCTACTTATTCAGTCGCTCTTTCAAACTCTAAGCTGACAAATTTGGAACAGTATTTGAGTGCTGCTTGGACAGAGATGGTCAGAATTTGCTGCAGTGTGTCACTGCATCATGCTGGAAAAGGGGTGAAAATTAGTGAGTCAACCCTGGTGACTAATTTTCATCACTGCTGATTGGAGCTGGAGCCGATAAATACCTGTGACTACTGAAGAGTCCTGGGAGTGACTGCTGATTGTAATCTTTACCATTAAAGACAAAAGCCAGATGTATGTGGGTGTTTTTTTTGTCCTGTGGGAAAGGGGCTAAATTAATACTGTGTTTCACACTGAAAAGAGATAAGATGAGTGACGCATCAATAAAATGGAAAAAACAAACAAAACTTCAAAATAAAACAAAATAAAAACTAAAATGTATTAGATTTTTTTTTACTGTATATATGGAGATTATGTTGCCAGCCTTAATTGAATACATGTAGTTTGCTGTTGTGACAATTTGTTGTCATAACGATTTAAATTTTAATAATAATCAGCCTTAAACACATACTTGGCAAACCTAATAGAGAGATAAACGGGGAGAAAACAGATGGGAACCACGGTGTCCTTGTGTGCACAGAGAAAAACAAAGTGCCTGTGAGTTAAATGCCTTCTTGGCACGTAGATGCAGACTGGACTGACAGTCTGAAAGGCCACGTTTCTCTCTGCCCGCCAGAGATTCCTCCATTTGTCTTCTCTAATGAATTGACAATCACACTCTCTCTGATGTTTACACAGAGATATTGAGCCATCCTAAAACTTGGCTGCTTAAGAATACCACACACACACACACACACACACACACACACACACCGAGCTGAACGCACACCTCTCCACATTCTCAAATGCACCCTGACACATCAGGAGCACAAGAACTGACATGCGCACACACAGACATGCGCTCATACACATGTATGATCCGCTGCAGTGGAGCAATGCCTCTGGTAGTGACAGGCAGCTGCTGAACAGGTCAATTACTTTCAGTCCAAATGATAATGACATTATCAGACCATTTATTTGTGGTGTGATCCAAGTGGCCTCCAATCCATTATGCAGTTTCCCCGCAATTGCATTTTTGAATGATTCATCCCCTGCTCTCTAATTATTCATTACTCCTGAAGAACTGAAGGAAGTGGGGAAATGAATAAAATGAAAAACACAAAAATGTGTTTGATGCCGTTTAGGCAGCAGCCGCAAAATGGAGAAATGTTATGCAAAGCTGCTCTCAGTACTCTGATTGATTCAAAATTATATAAGGAGAAAATTGTTTTGTCTGCAATGAAAAACATCTTTTCATAGAATTTTCTGCTTCATTTAAGACTATAACCTCCAAGAGATGTTAAAAAACAATTCCAACATAAACACCAGAAGTGTGCACCTTCACTGAGACAGCTACACACAGAAACAAATCCCCTGCTTGTACACCTACAGTCTATGACGAAAAGGTGCACTAAATGCACAGACACATGCGGTCTGCTTGGCCATGCACATTGTAAATCAGTTGAAAGCCCTAACACAGGTGGTTGGTGTTCATTACTTTTGTTTGCCAGACCATAGTGCCACCTGTGGAATCACAACCATCTAATATACCATTAAAGATTCTTTTAAAAAATCTGAATAAAAGAGTAAAATGAAGCAGTATTTATAGGACCATTTGACAAACTACTGCAGTACCATTAAGAGCTCCACAACCCCTGATTAACTATTAAAAATTTTGATGAAACCCCTAGAGTTCAAAACCAACAAGGCAAACAGCCCTGAAAAATTACGCATTCAAGTGATTTCCTAAACTAAAATGAGTCATTTCACTGCAAAGATCCTCTGAAGAATCGTAAATTAGAGAGTGTATCATCCCTCTGCAATCCCCACAATGAATAGACACGCCACATCCCCAAACAGTAAAGACCGAACACAACACCTCACATGATTATAATGGGATCCGTCCCTCCAATGGGACGAAGCAGAACAATAAACATGTTTGTGTCTATTACTGAGATTACAATGGGATCCCTTGGTGGCTTTACTCGTGGCAGTGTCCTCCTCCTTCGCGAACACACATAACACCGGCCCTATAAAAACAGCATCATACCTCTCCCCCGGGCACCAACTCTGTTCCCTTTCCCCTCCCCTCCACCTCCTCGACCCTCTCTGCATCCTCCTCTCTCTTCCCTCGCCTCAACCAATCCCCCGAGGTGGATTAAATACAACCACACCTGTGATCATTTCTCATTTGTGAAGTCTCCAACACCAGTGGTCCAAAGGGACGCAAGGCACAAGCCGACAGCACCGCAGCTGTGAATTGCTGTTTTGCTGGCTTGGTAAATGCTCTAAAACATACATAGATTAGATGTTGCCGTGAAAATACTTATCACATAAACAGAGTATGCAGGTACACAACGGAGCTCAATTAGTTATGAGGCGCTGTTTTCCTAACTTGGTGAACTCTCTACAGCTTATATAGATTATATTCTCCCAGGAAGAGAATCGCTCATCAGAGTTCACAAATACACACACAGAAAAAGTAGGTGTGGGGAGGTGTGGTAAAGAGACAATAATAAAGAAGGGCTATTTGTACTTTAAAAGCTGCGCAAGGCTGGACTTTACGTAAATAATCACCAGCCTGATTTAAAAATGAGGCTGCAATGGAGATGAACTTCCTGCACTTTACTCAACAGATTCATTAGATTCTAGCACTGGATAGATACACTAACACAAAACTCAAGACCAAAATACAAAAGTGTGACCTTAACAGTAACAAATAGGCACTCAGTCCAATACCAGTTATCTCTTGTTGCTATGACCTTAAAGCTCAGATATTTGGCTTGTCCTTGTAGAAAAAACTAAAAAAGACAAACACATACACATGCACTGTGTACTCACCTGGAGGGTTGGGTGTGTTCTGTCCATATCCCCCCATGTTAGGACCCACACCTGGTCATGTGACTTGTCATAGAGCATCTTCACTGGAAAAGGATCTGTTGTTACTGCCTAGAAGAGATGGACAGAGTGAGGAACACATATGACTTGTATTTGAGCTACAAAGAATTAGAGGTTTGTCCACTGCTGCTAAAAAGTCATAAAAGCCTCACTGATATTTACATTTTACGTCCTGGTATTACATTTTACGTCCTGGCGAGAACAAAACAAACTAGTTACCCTTTTTGACAATGAGCATATGGATAAAAAACGAACAAAAAGAACCCCAAATATCAGCTAATTTATCAAACATACTTTTAAACTCTCTGAGCTGGCCTCAAAAATCCAACATCAGTTTCAGTGTAGTCCTTCATAATTCCACTGATAACCTAACACCAAGGCTTGGCAGCTGGGAGACCACAGTTTGAATCCTGGTTTTCGGCCAACCCCACCAGTAAGAGCTCCTTAGCAAGACCCCTAATGCTTTACTCGCCTAATATAACAGGATGATCTGGGGCAAACAAAAACAACAAAAAACTGGACCTTGTTAAATGCAAAAAACTCCTATTAGAAGTGCAAATGTATAAAAGACCAGAGGCTAGTTTCCCCACACTGATTTGCAAACGCCGCTTACGTGCAGATTGCAAATGGTGCCAACATCTCATTTCACCAATGACTCTTGCACATTCTCCTACAGTCCTCTTTTGCTCATTAATGGGTTGCAAGTTTGGTGCTTGTTTTAATTAGTTAAAGTGTCAGAAAATGAAGGGACAATGATCTCAAGTTGCAAGTCGCAGCTTGCTTGTTGCAAATTTAGTGAGGAGCGCCCCGGCACACTACCCAACAATGAAACATACTCAGGGGTAAGCTGTTATCACATCTCAAAAGTGAAGGAGTACTAACTACTAAGTAGGTGTAAATGCCAGAAAGGGAAGAGAGAAGCTTGACAGCATGTGCACTTTTACAGGATTACTGCTGGAGAGGTTTTTGGTGAGGATATCTGACACACATCAGGCAAGAGAACAGAAAGCACAGAGAATAACAGTGAAAGGGAGAATAGAAAGAATAGAACAGGCAGACAGGAAAAAGAGAGAGGTGTGGGGGTGGGGTGTATTCAACCTCAGGTCTGCTGCAATGTCAACAACAAGGAATAACACAATCCATTACCCTGCTTCTGGCTGGGTGGACAGGGAGCTGCTGACACCCTCACCAGTGGAGCGAGACCACAAGCTCTGTGTTCAGTAATGGGAGGTCCAGCCCTCTGCTCCGCACTGGTCAGCCAAGTGTCAACTCAGCATGTGTGTATGTACAGTATGTGGAGATGGTGGACTGTGTGCCTGGATTTGCCTTTGTGTGCATTTAGCCTCCTACATGATGGGAGCAGCGGTAAAGCTGAGGTCGGGGCACCATGCAGCAGACCAGGAGGCAGTGGACTGGATTCTGTGTTCACCTCTGAAAGTCCAACATACTTTAAATGTCCATTTTAAGTTGAAATAAACGACCTATTTGTAAGAGAAACAAACAAAACAACCTTTTAAAAATAGATCTTGATAATAAGACAAAATCTATGTTTCATTTTCGTTGACGAGAAGGGTGGACTTTCGGACACTGTAAGAACGGCAGTGCTTGTAATTATCTTCTAATGCCGCCTGAACGACAGGATGGCAAACTCCAGTGAATAGTCTGTACCAAGATGTTTCGCTAGCCAGCTAAACCACTCACACCATAGCAGCGTCACCAGCTAGTGCGAGTTGTGAGCTGTAGCAGTAAATAATCAGCTGTGCGTGTCTGTCTGTGGAAGGTGGAAGTGTTAAATGGATTTGACGAATTTGTTAGTAGCACTTGCTGTTAGCGGTTAGCTCCGCTTGTTGGCCACTGAGTGGCAGCGAAGCAAGCAGCCACTGGCTGCTGGACTTTACATCTACTGATCTCTGCAGGACTTAAATCAAATCAATCTGTTTGACAGGCAGGTAGGAGGCTCAGTTATCTTCGAGTGTCTGAACTCAGATCAGTTTTCTTTGATAGAGATGAATGGTAAGTTTTGATCACTTACTCTGTGAGAGGACATGAATTTAAACCTGATTAAGAAAGAACCAAGGCTTTAATTAAATTATTTTTCCGCGTCTTTACATCTCTTTACGATTCTCCTTTACAATTGAGTTTACAATGGACCTGGGTACAAATCCTAGTCTTCTTAGAATAGTTATTTGTGGTGTCAAAGTTTTTGAGAGCATAAATTGAGAAACATTGAGCTTTTTAAAAATAATGATCAGTAACTGTGTGTTTGTAAATCACCCCTTAAACCTGTAAAAAACTGCTGGAGAAATTACAGTTTGTAAGTGTTCAGAAATTATTTGTAGTTGTAGAAAAAATTATCTAAATGAAATTTTTATACAACCTGTCACCTTGATTTTAATTTCCGATACATGAATTATCCTTGCTGGATTAGATTAAATGTAAAAAAAACATAGAGAAAACATAATGAGTAAAAGTTGATGAAAACATCTTTAATTTTGTCGACTAAAACTACGAAGGATACAAATGACTAAAATGTGACTAAAACTAATAAGTATTTTAGTCTGAAGACTAAGACTAAATCTGAAAGACTGTCAAAATTAACATGGCAAAATTAAAGTTTTCAAGAGAGTTGTGTGTTTGCAGTAAACAGAAAGAGAACTAAGCAGTTGCCAGTAGCAGTGATTGCCAGAATGAGGTTTATATGGGTGATTTCATTTTAGATCTAGTCCCTGCTTGAAAATACTCACATTTGCAAAATTCCGATGCAAATAAAATCTCCTATCAAACTTTTTTGTAGTATCAGAGATCAGCGCAGAAAACATTTAGGCAGCAGCTTCTCGATCTCAGCTGCTGTTGACAGTCACTTTGGTGGCAGATTATATCATCTGTAGCTACCTGATGCTGTAAAGACGGATGTTTTGCAGGCAAAAAGGTGTCTAGACTCAACCAAAGATTTGTGCGGTGAAAGAAACATCTTTTTATAACCTCACTGAGTGGACTGTGTGTCTCTGTCCCTTTGAGACAGAGGGAGTCAGTCCATTGAAAATACGTCCTTAAAAGAAAGTAAACCTCTTCCTTTAACTCCATAACAGTGATAAACGAATTTATAGGCAAATAAAGCTTAAAAAAAGTCACCTGAGTTGTAGCCCACAGCATAACTCACTGAATCCATTGCAATATTATAATTTCTTGTTGACATCCCCCAAAGCACTGTGGAAGCTGTGGTTACTAAAGTACAAAGTAAGACAAGGAATAATAATAATAAAGAGCACTGTTGACCAACCCAACTTATTCTTAAAATAACAATATCGAAGACATGTAGTGAATCTTCTGAAAGCCTGTAACGAAATACAAGAAAACAGAGCAAAAATGCAGGGATTCAAAGGATTAAATCTAGATAAAGGATGCCACTCTGTGGATGTGGAGTATCGCCTTTTATCGAGAGAAAAGATCTAGCTTATTGTGTCACATCAATTTGAGGGGGATCTGCACAAATATCAAATCGATAATTTAAGCCCATCAACTTCTGAATCAGGACCTTGTTTAACTTCACTGACTTGTAAATGTTGAAAGATTTGATAAATAAAGGATCTGAAAGGTTTCACATTTGATAAAATGCTGTAAAACTCAACTTGTCATAACCACCGTAGGTGAACTGATACAGAAAAACCCCAGCTACAAAAAGTAAACAGAAAATCCAATGTGATAGATGTTTAAGTATTAAACGCAGAGTCTGACTGTCAGGAGTTCCAGAGCAGAAACCTCACAGCAATTAGTGTATGTGTCACAGATTACCAATTTCATCCTTCAGGAAACCTAAATATCTCTTTACTTCAAAGAACATTAGTATTTCTCAAACATTTTTCAAAAAGATGCTCACTGGGGCTCGGAGCAAAGAAAAAGCACGACTGAAACCTGGATGACAACTGCATGCCGCCTCTTACTGACTTATCAGGCCACAAAAGAAAGCAGCAAAGTGCGTTAAAGTGACTACAGAACCAGAGGTCTTTGCCATCTGGCTCTCTTTTTAATTAGCCGATGTGCCGTTTGTTTTCAAACCCAGCGGGAGGCTTAGCCTGCACAGGTCTGACACATCAGAGTCAAGGTTAGATCCTTTGTTGAAAAAGATAAAGGTACAATTTCCTTGCATGCAACAACATGAAAACCATGAAAGTCTTTATTAGTGCAGCTTCTCCACATGTTTGCAGCCTTTATCTAGTATCAGCTGGATATCATGAAAAGTATGAAGCATTTATTAAAACGTGCACAAGACAACTTTTTACAACAGTGAGCAAAAGCATTTATTTAAGGACCCAGGAACAACAATATGTGCCCCTTTAGGATCTAAATTTCCGCTTTGGACTAATGAAGCTACTATTTAGGAGCAACTATTGTGTTTAAATCCAACATTTTTTCCCCTAAACAGCGTTAACACTTTCTTTTTTTGTTACAGTCCAAGTTAATGCGTAAAGACAACTAGGTTGGGTGTAGTTTTACAAAACAATCTTGCTGCTTTAATATGATGACAAACAACATATCCTGTTCTGCTTTTGCATCCTAAGGCTGCCTGAAAGTAGCGGGGATAAGGAGCTGGCCTGTGATCAACACATCTGGCCTGGGTGATGTAAGTATATGTTGGATGTGTTGTCATTCACATCCCCTACAACTGCAGAGTAACACCGACACACAGTCCTGTTCTTGTGCATAACTCTGTCTCCAGTGCTACTGTAGCTGACCAGCGCACCAAGAACTAGCAGGTAGGTCATCTAGCTCCGGTGTTCGCATTTTTAAGCTCATCATAGTAAGTGACTCGCACGCCAAATCATTTGTTTTGCTAACCTCAACATGTGTTTATTGTGTGTCCGTATCTGGTAATTATTTGACTTTGATCCTCTGCCTGTACCTGTGTCCACGGCTATTAATTTATTTTAAATGGTGTAGGCTACTGAATGATTCTTTACAATTGTTTTCATTTTAATAGAAATATGAATAATAATAAACTTAAATTATATAGCACCTTTCATGCAAGACATGCAGAACAAATTGCTTTACAATAAGGTCAGTATAAGCACTGAGTGCTTCACATGAAAATAGATATAATGGAAATAAAACAGGCAAGGCAATTCAACATAGAGGGGATTTAAAGCAGTTTAACACATGGATTAACTGATTCATAAAATCAGTGGCAGAGGTAAAGAGTTGTTAAACTATAATCATAAAATCAAGTAAGATTTTAAAAGAGTTGCAGCAGCGTGAAGTGTAAATAGAAAGTAAAAGCGTAAAAAGAAACCTGTATCAGGAAAGGGGGAGCAGAAGACGCTGTCCTGATATCAGCCATAACTGCTGTATGAGTGCAGTGCAAAACGGCTGCCATGAGCTAGCCAGTGGGATACACACATGCGGCCACACTTACTACAATTAGTCTCGCTCACCAGACCTTTATCAAGAAAAGAAAGGTCTGGCTGCGCCGACTCTCACTTTAAAATTGGAGAAAAAAACGTCCAGGCTTTTTTAATTTCTTTCAGCCAATCACAATCGTTCTGGGCGGTGCCACAGCAACAGGGTGTGCTTGCAAAAATATTGCCGGGGGGGAAACAGGTTTTGGTGTAACACCCCCACAAAAATATCGCCTACAGGACGCGAACCATGGCAGAAAAATGGCTACATCCCCGCAAGATCAAACACCAGCAAAATTTAGTAAAGGACGTGTTGAAAACTGCTACACAAACGGAGGTGGTAGGGCGGGACTTCAGCGGGTGGCTCGTTCCGCCCTGCCCCATGAGAGGCTGATCTCTGCAGCGAACTTCCACCCACTCAGACTATACTACAATAAACCATAGAGAAGATGGGATTTTCTGCTTATGACACCATGTCTTTACATAGCAAATATTGGTTTACTGCCATATTAATACTCATACAATACTGTCTCATACAGACGCGGCAGTAGCTCAGTCCATAGGGACTTGGGTTGGGAACCGGAGGGTCACCTGTTCGAGTCCCCGCCCGGACCAAAATATGGAGCGTGGACTGGTGGCTGGAGAGGTGCCAGTTCACCTCCTGGGCACTGCCGAGGTGCCCTTGAGCAAGGCACCGAACCCCCCAACCGCTCGGGGCGCCTGACCAAAGGGCAGCCCCCTCACTCTGACATCTCTCCACTTTGTGCATGTATAGGTCCTGTTTGTGCCTGTGTGTAATTGACAAGCAAGAGTGAAAACATTCAATTTCCCCTCAGGGGATTAATAAAGTGAATAAACTTAAAAACTTTAAAATATGGTTTGGATATGTCCTACATATGCTTCCCTCTGACAGTTGATAATGTGCATTCATTGTAGTCTGTCATCTTCTCTCTTGTTCTAAAGGCCATTGTTGAAAGGAAGCTACAAATGTGCTTTGTAAAGTAAGAGCTTTGAAATAACAGAAAAAAGTGAGGATGCATTAAGCCCCTGCACGCAAAGGCCAGGAAGGGTCTTCAAGAAAGAGAGAGGGGGAGAAGCAAAAGAGGGATGGGATGATCAAGGAGAAGAAAGCAGTTTTACAGTGTTGGATGGAGAAGAGAAAAAGCGGCAGCTGGTGGGCCACAGCCGAAGGTCATGACCTGAACTTTAAATCTTGTGAGAACATTGTATGTGCCAAAACACGCCTCTGTTCTTCCTTCCATTATATCACTTCACATCCTTTTCTTTTTCTTGTCATTATATTATTGACTAAAAAAAGTATATCAAGTATTTAGCCTGGTTTTAATTAAAACAAATGGAGCTAGTATCTCTGAGTTTGTTGAGATCTTGTCATTTTTAAAAACAAAACTTCTCAAATAAACAATGTTATTAATTAAATGGAGTGGTAAATAACTTCACTTCAAACCTTAAACTGATAACAAGGTCAAATGACACATTTCTAATGACACTTTCTCACTGCCACCTGCTCAGTTGGCCGTCTCTCTTGTTCTCTCTGCTCAGACTTTCACTTATCTCCCTTCTCCTCTCCCGCCTCCTTCTCCTTAAATTAGGCCTATTTCCTCTGATCCCGTACCTCAGTATAAATGATGTTGACCCTGGGAAGAACTCCTGAGGGATTCAGTCTCTAAACAGCCGTTACAGGCAAGATGAATGGCGAGGCAGCCAGCACCCACCTGGGCACCATATTGTTTCAGGCACTTGAGGTGCATTTGATTTATTTTCCCTTGCATGTGGTCTTTTTAAATCGGTGGTAGTTCAATAGCGTGGCAAGTTGAATTGATTGCACCTCACGTCGGTGATGCTGTTTGACATGTAGCCCATCATTGACTGCATGGATGCATATCCACTGGATGTCTATACTTTAAATTTTGAATGTATCCAACTTTTTTTTGCCGCAAGACTTGGGCTGTCTTGTTGCTATTTATAACATAGGCTTAAGCTACAGATACTGGAGTGAAGCTGCATTAGGTATGATTTATATAACATGTATCTGTCACTAGCAGAGAGGCATCCTTTGCAGTTGCAGAAGACATGGGAATAAATAAACAAAATGCCCTTGTATTGCAGTGTAGAGCGAGTTAGTAAGTTTTAAGCCAGACTGGATACTTACTACAGAAAACCAAACTTAAATCGGTAACACATAAGTTACACTCATGTTTCACGGTTTGTATTTTCAGACAATATGTTTCACTGTTACAAGAAAAGACTTTGAGGATAATGACTAACTGATGTGTGAACATAATACTGCCTTGGGTAAGAGTTTGGCTGCAGTTGCAGGGGTGTAAACTTCCCACTAATGTTACCCTAATGTCTGGTGTGGTTTAACAGGAGGAGGACGGAGGAGTCGGGATAGGATCGCCAACCCTGCAAGTGATCTATGGCTAAGCCCCGCCCTCAAACGCAATGAGCCAATCTCAGTGCGTATAGCCATTCCCATACACTCAGACATTCTCTGCCTGGACGTCCATTGAAATGCATTACAGAAAGTCAGTTTCGTTCGTTTTATGAGCTTTTTCGGAGATTTGGAGTTTAAAAATGGTCAAACGGTGTGCATGGGGTACATGCAACTCCAACACAAGGTATCCTGAGAGGCTGGGCGACCAGGTGTATTTTTTACACTTTAAACCACATCTCAACCAAGAAAAGTGTCTCCTTTGGATAAAGTTGTGTGGTAACGTTAGACCACAACATCAACTCAACGTGAATAATATTAACAATGATATCTACATCTGTTCTAAGGTAAGTCAACATTGTGTTTGAGGCAACATATTGTCACTTTGCTGGAAAGAAATATAAAGTTATCTTTAACATCTCTAGCTAACGTTAGCTAAAGTTAGCCTAACATTAGCTCCTAGCTGCGTTGTTCATCATGTCACCTTGTTTGCTGGGAGTTCATTAGCCTATTTTGTTCTAGTTTTGTACTTTGATGATCGTACATCATTGTTAGCTGTTGTCCAAAGGGCTCTAGTTAAGCTAACGTTAACTTCTGGAGCTTAGCTTCATTAATTTATCTGTAATGGCAGAGATAACAAAGGTTGGCAAACGTTATGCTGAATGATTCAGTGTAAATACTGTAGCACCAAACTAACGGAGAGACACTCTTGGTAAAGATGGTAAAAAGGCCGTTATCCTTTTCTCATATTCTGAGCCAAAAACCTTAACTTCAGTGGCACTTTAACTTGTTGTCTTTGATGGTGACGGCAACGAGATGCGGTTAAGCGTACACTGTGACCTGTAAATTTTGGCTGGTAATTTAAGATTTTCATCGACCTTCTCAACAATAAAATGATGAATATATCCCTCCAATGTGTAGTTTAGGCCCTTTTGGTTACTTCTCAATGACATCTGATCGTTATGTCCCCAAAAATCATCAATTGCCTCCTGCGAAATGCCGTGTACTGTGACACCTGCCATAGCGCCGCTCACTGAATGTTGATGGTTTGTCCGAGTGAGTGGAGGGGGCGTGGCTTAGCCATAGGTCAATTAGTGGATAACCTGCTCTGCCTCCACAGCCACCCACTATAAATGACATTTAAAAATTAGGGATGTTGTGATCTAATTTTCTTTTTTTTTTTTTGGCCCCAGCCATGATCTGAACCCTTTAATACTGGATATCTGCCAATACTTAGATTTACTTAAATGTTGATTAAAGTTGTATCTGACACCTTAAATAAAAGTTGCACTGTGTAAACTTATTTTTCAGCTACTTACTGAAGATCCTGGTTCAAAACTATTACGTTTATAGACTTAAAGTTTTGATTGTGCAGTGGTGTTACAGAGCGGAAGTTCTTCCCTCACAAATGATAATTGAATGAGCAAAGACACAGGAAGCAGAGAGCACTTAAACCAGACAACAGACAAGTTTAATGTCTTGTTATTAAGTTATTAGTGTTGATGTGTTTGTCATTTTAACACTTAACTTTGCCAGTACACAAAGTTCTCCACAGAAGCTTTAAAATGTCTGTCACTAGCTTCAACATGAATGATTTCTGAGATGTTCTGATACTTTGGCGTGTTTGACAGGCCTGATACCTGCTCCACTCACCTGCACCACCTTCTGTGCTTGAATATCAACCACCAGCAGTCGGCTCAGGAGGGGCTGGGTCACGTAGATGTACTTATCTCTGATGTTGACTGCTGAGGACCACACGCAGTGCTGAGGTGACACCCCTTCACCTTTAGGGCACATCTCCTCCTGGGAAGAGCCAACAGAGAACAGAGAGGATGATGGGAGAAGAAAGAAGAGAGCAACAAAGGGAGGAAAAGGTGGAGAGATTTCTTGGTGTATCGTAGATCGGCAGTATGATGCATTTTCACTCTGTCAAGCTTCACCAATGATTAGAGCTGGGCGATTACATAAAATACTGGATTATCTATTTTCATGTGGATCCTGTTGTGATGGTATGATCATATCAAGCTATCTATTTGCGAAGTTATGTGGGGTTTACATAGTGCATGTCTTAGCCCAAAGACCATCTTGACACCCCATTTGATGTATTGATTATCATTGGAGCATAGGTCATTGTAACCCAACTGGGAGTTGCCATAGTGGGACAAGAGCTAAAACTATTAGTTCTTTTAATTACTGATTTATATTTTAACTATTTTTTCAATTAAAAATTTAACTTCTTGTTTTGTCAAATCAACGATCCAAAAGCCAAAGATGAATGATATAACAATAAAATAATAATAATAATAGTTATAACAGTAATATAAACAAATCCCCATTTTTACTTAATAAGTTATAATAAAAATAAATTAAAAAACAAATAAAAACACAATGAACAATTAGTCTTTCAAAACTGTTGTTGATTTTTTTTTTTTTTTGTCAATTGGCTAATTGGAGTACTAAGTGCTGCAGCCATTGCGATATAAATTTATATTGGAAAATTTGTCTTGTTAATGTGAAGTACGTCAAGGTAAGTATATTTGTAAAGCACCTTCAAATGGCTTTACGTGAGACAAAAGGCATTTAGACAAGATATAAAAGAAACACAACACAATATAAAGAGACACATACAGAATAAGACGTATTAAGTGGGAGAATAAAAACTACAGCACAGCTACAGTGCAGTGCATGATATCAATAAATAGTCCCCAAATTAAATGTAATAATCTTTTATGAGAGGTGTTAAGCCTTGATTTGTAAGAACTGAACTATTAATGCAGTGATATAGGTTTCACCCAGACAATGCAGTCCTACAAAAGTGCATACTGATGTCTTTACTGCTGCCAGCTTCGTTCCAATAATACTTCATAATGATTGTTTCCAATCTTAAGTTCAGCATCAGATTTTTCATCAGTTTGAATGTATCGAAAAATTCATACAGCACGACTGACTCAAGTAACATACTGCCTCGACAGGCTTTGCTGCCTGCTGTCTTTGCTGACAAGACATTTGTGCACACACTCCCTCACACACACACATTGTATACTGGTATGTAATCACTAATGCACACACACACACATACGCACACACACACTCGAAGGTAATGTTTCAAGAGTTTCCACCTCCTCTCCACCTCACCAAAGTGGAGAAACTGCTGTTTACAGCAGGAACTGGCTAACACATGGCTTATTGAGTTTGTATTGATCTCTAATACAATTACGGGGTCCTGTAAAACCCAAATCCCTCAGAGGAACAAGCAACTTTACCTTCTAAAGCCCACTGCTCTGAGAGAGGGATGTTCTCAGTGGATTAAAAACCTCAGGGTCTGTTGTATAGACTCTATATCGGTGCAAGCTGTTGACTAATGGACACAAGTAATCCCATTACATTAGTGAGGTGAGGAGCCCAACTGAGTACAGCAACGGGAAGAGAAGGAAGGATGGCCTTCATTATGGTGGCAATGTCCTTTCACATTGAAACTGAATAACTACAAGACAATATGAGATAGATAGTAAAGGATGACATTGCTTTATTTTTTATCGCATCTTTATATTGTTCCCGTGAGATGAGCTGAGAGTTTAAAGGACAAAACCTTTATTTTCCTGCTGAAGAACACGACACTTTCAGCGCATTGCATGTTTGGATTATGGTACAGCAACCCAATTAAGATCTATTACTGACTGGGGAGTAAGATTCTCTTTGCGGTGTAGCTGATGTATCATGACTGTGTGAGTTAGTGAGTGCTTTTCTTGATGTAAAACATTCACTAAATGACATCTTTCTGCCTCGCACATAATTTGATTTTGAAAGGCATCAGCTCAGCAGTTACAAACAGCATCCTGAAGTCTGTTTTGTAATTTAATGAGTAACTTTTAAATGAAAATATAGGCTACTTATTATCTGGCATGGCCATTTTTAATGCACTTTAATCTCATTGAATCAATGACACTATTAAATTATGAGGGGAAAAAAAAGACTTACATAGGTGGCAACAATCCTCTCTGTGCGCTTCATGTGCCTGCGTATCTCACATTCGCTGGGCTGAAGAACAGTGATGCCCTCATCAGAAAACACATAGAACATATTGCCCACACTCAACCCTGGAAGAGAAGACAGAAAATATGTCGACAAACAAACCTCAAAACAAAAAAAAGCAACGAATACAAATTAAAAACAGCCGAAAATCCCACTCCCATCTCATCTGACATTTGTGATGGGCATTTCAATTTTCCTGCTGGAGGACACGCAGCAAGACTCCTGTTAGCATGCTACGGTGTTAGCGGGGATGGGCAGTGTGTGGCTGTCAGCCATTTTGACAATGCCTACAAAGGGCCCTGTCAGCAACATGTCCACAACATATAGCGAGAGGCATCAAATTAAAGGCCCTGTCTCTACGAAGAAAGACTTCTCATCTTGTCTGCTTGTGTAAACAGCTGCTGATGAGTTAGTAAGGATCACAGTCTGATGTTAAGGCATTTGGACGAGCAACAAGCTATTACTGCGGGCAAGAATACATCACAAGAGCAGAGCTGATTAGCATGAGAACATAAACACACTTGGGGCATGCATAAAAAACACTACGAGGATGATTGATTGGTCAGGCTGTTAACACTGTAACGCTGTGACATGAACAAAGTACACCAGAGGAACACGCAAAATGAAAAATGCAAAATATAAATGCGTGCAATGCATTTATGGATACAGACACAACAACTTGCACACACACAACACACTAACCGTGCTAATGAGGTAACTCTGAGTGTCGATAAGTGCTCACACATAATCCAAATGCTTACACTGTACTCTAAACCACACTGTCTTCTTTTGGTTTTGTGGTAAACCTGATGTGGTGCTGAGATGTATATAAAACAGATTGTGTTTGTATTGTGCTCTAAACCGCAGTAGGTTTTCCACTGCATGTGGCTGTGCTGATGTTGTAAAAATATATATACAATATAAAGAGAGGATGGATTTGTATACTGATAAAAACCACAAAACTGTTTTTCTTGTGGCCACCACACAGTGTCTGTGGAATTCTCTGCAAAATGCATAAAATTCCTGCTTGTGTGTAAATGGTTCCTTTCCATGTGATTTAAAAGGATGAAACACTAAGAATGCAAAATTTGAAGCAAAGTTTTGCTGGAGAGAAAACAACGTTGTCATTTTTCTGGACAGTACGGCACACATCTTGGAAGGTGCAGATATGCATGCAATCCTAAGCTGACGGCCACAAACAGCCACAAAACATGCCCACCATATTTTCTTATTTACAAGAGTACGAAAGCCTTTTGAGAACTGTAATGTATTACCTTCTTCTCTCCACAGAATGTTAGCAACTGCAGATTCAGCCATCGAGCAATGGAAAGGAAAGGAGGGGGAAAAGAGAGGAAAAACATTAAATCACCTTAAGAATAAAAGAGACAGATCGTCCATGAAACAGAGGAGGTGATTTCTCTCATGCCATGCCACGACAAAACATATTTGACATCTACAAAACGTTCCACACTGCTGTTGACAGGATCATATTTCCTCCTAAATCAAGAGATCACTCAGAAGCCATCGATTATTCTGTTTAATTTCAACTGGCCTGATAAGCTGTCTCTAGGTGGCGATGGTTAACTCGTCACAATGATGCAATCTAATGAAACGCCAAATATCAAAGAAACATTAAATATGCGATTTGAGCGGTTGTTCCCCACTATGAAATATGCATCTGTGCTGCCTGATGTTCATTTCTGGTTCCAGACTCCCCACTGCTCCTGGGCTGGGACATTATCAAGCTGATAATGTGTGGTCTGATTTCTGCATTACTACAAAAGAGTTACATCTTTGTGTAACTAACATCACTTAAATACTATCTAACAAGTTTCAAAATCATACAAACTCTCTTTCTAAAAAAAGGCGTGAGAGCTTCTTTTTGCTTTTGAAATTATTTTACAGTATAAGCTGATATTTAATGATGACTTACGGGTCTTCTTGGCTGAGTCTTCAACAAACAGAGAGGAGATATCCTCGTCCACTCCCACCTCGTTCTTGGCGATGCATGTGTAGGCTCCTGTGTCCTCGTACCTGACGCTGCCAATAAAGAGCTCACTTCCATTTGCTAAAAGAAGAGAGAAAACAAAAGGAAAGGAGACATGTGTTACTGTCACTGTTAGCTTTTGCCACGTTATTTTAAATCCTCATTGGGTACACTACGTATACTTTTGAGAAAAATAAAAACCCAGTTGAAATGTGTTTGTTATCCTTGCAAACCAAAAATAATGTTTATGTTTTAAACATCTCAGACAGTAAACCATGGGAAAGGCACATACACATACTGTATATGATGTTTTGCTCAAGTTACATTTCAGATTTGTTTTGGGTTGGTAAAATGAATATGGTTCAAATATTGCTTAATCTTGTGTTACTGAAGCTATAGTTGGTGATTTTTATGAAAATAACTGCCATATTTGCTGAAAGTGTGGCTATATTCTTAAAGAAGTACATGAAACAGATGCTGTTTGTTCCAGTACCCATACTGACATACTATATAGTATGCCAGGAAAATATTTGCTATGTCCCAATACATAGTATGTCAAATGCAATATGCCCAAAATACCAGGATGTTCTACTACACCCGGTCCCATTTTGCAGTATGCACCAGCATGCTTTTCTGGATATTCTGACCCACAATCCTCTGCGCAGTGGATGATAAGTCACATTGACTTAGCCGCAGAGACAACGGCTTGACAGCTCATTGACAGCTGTTTGACAGCTGATTAACAGCTGTCAGAAGTCGCAATGATGGATGACAGTGCAGTCAGGTGACTGATAACCAGTCGATTACTAATAAAAAGAACATTAATTGTTTAATTGAATAAAGTAATCATAAATATAATCAACAAAAAAAGGGAATAAGGATTAAATAACAATGACAGAGAAATGTATAGCCCACATAATTTCACTATCCTGAATATAATATGTTAGAATCCTAAATGCATGCAGTTACAGCATTGCAAAATAACAACATAAGAGCTGTTGTGTGGGGTCAAAGCTCATGGTGTAACGTTTTGAGTAAAACTGAAGAGCTTAGTGGATCCCAAGTCCATAGGAGACCACACTGCAATCTCTATACATAACCAAACAATTAAGCAAGTTGTCTCCTATAAGTATCTAGGAGTACAGATTGACAGGGATATGAGCTTGCACTCACATGTGCAAAATGTCTGTGCAAAGATACATCAGCGCCTGCACTTCCTACGGAGATTAAGACTGTTTGGGGTCAATAGAAATATAATGATGATTTTTTACAATGCTAGTATTCTGTCTGTCTTAAGATATGGTATGTCCAGCTGGTTTGGAAACCCGACTGTGAAATTTAAATCCCAAATTGCTAGGTTGATTAATTTGGCAGGGAAGACAGTGGGTGTGTCCACAAGCCCGAGTCCCTCCTCAGGTCATTTTTGAACAATCAGTGATAAGACAAGTCCGTAAAATTGTGTCTGATCCTGACCATGTACTGAATTCTGAATATGAGTTATTGCATTTGGGAAGAAGGTACAGAGTACAACGTTGCAGGTATAACAAGTACAAAAACTCGTTTATTCCGCTGTCGATTAAACTGATTAATGAGGAGTATGTCTGATGTATGTATTATGTATTTAATTTGATGCCCTGAGGTTAACTGGGTGACTATGTGTTGTAATGTGTGTATTTTTATGTTGGTGACTATATGTTGATTGTATGTATGTATGTGTATGCTGACCCCTTGTCTGTCCTATGGATAGGACAGACAAGTGTGAAGGGAGGAGATAGAGAGAGGGGGAGTGACATGCAGCAAAGGGCCACAGGCTGGAGTCGAACCCGGGCCGCTGCGGCAACAGCCTTGTACATGTACCTGCTCTACCACTAAGCCACCGACACCCCGAGTTCATACTTTTTAAAGACAGCTGCAGTACATACTAAAAGTACAAAGAAAAAGTTTGTGTTTCGGAGCGCATCCATAGTCTGTGAAAAACACCATGCTCCTCCTTTTCTTCCTACTGCCACTAATGGCATTGGCTGGACTCAACCGTGGTGCACCAAAAACATCCGATCAACACTGAGGAGTCTCTAACACAGCTGTCAATCAATCACTACAAAAACCGTGGTCAAACTGCCAAACTAGGCATCGCTGATCAAATATGAATCATGATTCTGTTACTGCATGACTGTTTCTAACCTCAAATGTTTTCAGAAACATATTTTAGTGTACTGTAAAATGAGAAAGCTGGTCCAGCTGATGGTTGGCGCTCTATTTTGTAGTCAACATGGTGTTCTGGTCATAAACTTTCTGATTTTACAGCCATACAATACACTAAAATTTGTTTGCTGAAAACATCTGAGGGAAGAAACAGACAATGCAGTTACAGAATCTTGATTCATAGTTGACTTGTGCTGCAAAATTTAGCAGTTTGACTGAAGGTCATGGAGGGATTGACATGACTGACAGCTGCGTTTGAAACTCATTGGCCCTGACTGGTTGTTTTTATTCACATGCAGTAAGGCCATTAACAATGCCACAAGGCAACAGAGTAGGCACAGTCTCATTCAGTGCTATGTAAATAGTGACTGATTCAGAAAATGTGAAAAAAAAGTAAAGTTGCAGACTGTAGCTAAGTAAATGTAGCCACTATAAATGCTCTATTAGACTATCTTTTCAGGGTCTTTATCAAACAACTATAAATGCCTTGTAATACTCATCAGGTGTTAACATTGTTGGAAACAGATAACAACTGAAAAAGGTTCCTTTTCTGTGTGTCAAGACTGACTGTGTTTGAATAATGAAGAAACACAAGTAAGGTTACTCTCCGTAACTTTCCACAGCTGCTGAATAATTTGCTGCTCAGTAAATCATTGATATAACTCTGCCTTTACTTCAACATGAAAATGAATACTTCACATTTTTCCACATTCTGCTACAGTAGTCTTTTTCTGTTTCAGAACATGAGTGAAGTCTTATTTTCCACCACACACTATACAGTGCTGCATTGTTTGCCTCAAGTTGCTGCAGTGACGTTAGATGGAGGTGACAGGTGATGTTGGCCATGATGAGACACAGAGGTCATCGTCGGAGGCCGACTCTCTGATGTTTGCTGCGGCATAAAGCTCTGTGATGTACAGCTGCACCTTCCTGCACTGTATGTGGCTATACTTCGAACACCGCACACTTTACAGCATGGGGAAAGTGAATGATGTTTGGTGTCACAGAGGTGCTCTTACAGGCCATGTTGTCTGTGAACATAAAAGAAAGCTTCAGTTTTCATCCCTTTCTGTATGTCTCTTGAATTACCTATGGCATCTATGAACTTCCATAACATTCACACTCCCCCTCTCTCTGTCTCTCCAGGATTTCTTTTTGTCTACTTTCTTCCTGTTCAAACTTTTAAGCTAACAAACTCTACGTGTTTGTCATTATGCAGAGCCAAAAACTTAACAAAAGGTTCTCTTTTTCATGTTGAAAATGATCCCCACCTTCTCATTTATAACTACTGGGTTGTAAAATAAGATGTTACAGAAGTTGATGCAAAGCTTTTCACATTAGTGAAATGTCTTTTGGATTTAGATAATAATTCCCTTTTATCAGGGGGAAAGTGTGAAATGCTTTGAAGTGAAAAGTGCCTTGAAGCAGGACTTCACAGAATAAGACACCACTTTAATTACTTCTAATTCATAATTATGTTCTGATCAATTCTTATTGAAAACCACGGAATCAACCACTCATTAAATTAGCCTTTTTATCCTTATTTTGCAAGCTTGTAGCGGCTCATCATGACAGGGCTTTTAAGGTTAAAGTGGGAATTTTAGTCTTCTTTACTCCTACCCATGGGCTTATGACTGCAAGGGCAAATGGGGAATGTGCCTGGTGGCCAGGAGTCAGTGGGGATATGATGTATTTATATCAACAATGGATGAACTTACTTTGTTTGTAAAAAATGACCAATCCCACAAGTCATTTTCTCCCAACTCTGCAGCTCACCATCGCTCTACAACAATTTATAAGGACTGTTCTACTCCAAGGCGGCACGGTGGTGGTTAGCACTGTCGCCTCGCAGCAAGAGGGTTCTTGGTTCAATCCCAGGAGGGAGCCCTTCTGTGCGGAGTTTGCATGTTCTCCCCATGTCAGCGTGGGCTTTCTCCAGGTACTCCGGCTTCCTCCCACAGTCCAAAGACATGCAGGTTAATTGGTGACTCAAAATTGTCCGTGGGTGTGAATGTGAGTGTGAATGGTTGTCTGTCTCTATGTGTCAGCCCTGTGATAGTCTGGTGACCTGGCCAGGGTGAACCCTGCTTCTCGCCCAATGTCAGCTGGGATAGGCTCCAGCCCCCCATGACCCTCAAGAGGATAAGTGGTTACGGAAATGGATGGATGGATGTTCTACTCCAAAAAAAGCACAAGCAGCTTACTACAGCCCATCTTGACATTTGTTGTAAGTGACAAGGAGTAGTAGTTCCATAGAAATTATGATGGGAGCAAAGTCATGTGACGCAGTAAAAAAGAGCGACAAAATTCTTGTTCTTGTCTTGTTCATGTACTGTGTGAAACCAAAAGTTAAATAGAGCTGATCAATATATCAATATTATAATAAAAGACCTGATATCGTCTTAGATTGTGGACATAGTAATACTGCAGTTGTTGCCTTATTTTGGTTTTAAAAGCAGCATTACAATTGAGTGGTGTAATTTTCTGAACTTTCTAGACTGTTTTATTATTAGCCTTTACCCACTTAATCATTTTATCCATATTACTGATGATTATTAATCGAAAAAGTAATTTTGTAAAAGCACCAATAGTTAACCCTATAACATCATTACAATATCACTGTCGATGTACTAAAAATAAAAAAAAGTATTGTAATGTTTGATTTTCTCCATCTCCACCACCTAAGTTAAGAAACCAAATATGTTATTTTCATGGTCTATTAAAGTCCAATTAATATCCGTGAACATGAGCTACTCTCTCAAAGCCAGAAACCAAAGAAGTAAGTCTCAACTACTACTACTACTACTACTACTACTACTTGGACAATGAATGGGAGCCTGATTTTGTATATATTTTTTGTTCTGTGGTAGACTTTTCAGTTCTGAAACAGAAAACATATACTGAGAGAATATTCCTCTGGCTGCTCAATTATAAAATCTTTCCCAATTCATGCTCTATAGAGCAGCTCCAGACATTATACTTCATGATATCACACATTTGAGTTTTAGTACTCTAGTTTTTGAATTTGGGAGCGAATTGTTCATGTTTGCTAACATTTTTGGACTGTCTTGGACCATAGAATAATGTATGAATTTTGAAAATGGCCGCAGTTCCCCTTTAATGTCATATTGTTTTGTAACGTCATGTCACAACAATATGCAACACCATGTCAGGTATAAAATGATATGCTGCTTAAACATGATTCTTTTCCTAAATCTAACCCGACCACTAGGGGCACTAATTTAGGGAACCCTATTGCTGGTCATATTAGAGGGTAGGAACAAACAAGGTTGCATGGTTAGTGCTTAGTAGTGCCTCCTTTGGCAAGTATCACAGCTTCTAAAAGCTTTTTTATCCAGCTAAGAATCTTTCAGTTTTTGCTTAGGGGGTTTTCACCCATTCTTTATTGCAAAAGGCTTCTTGGTCTGTGAGATTCTTGCTCAAAAGAGCCTGCACTGCTCTTTTGAGGTCTAACCACAGATGATTTTCAATGATGTTTAGGTCGGGGAACTGTGAGGGCCATGGCAAAACCCTCAGCTTGCACCTCTTGAGGTAGTCCATTGTGGATTTTGAGGTGTGTTTAGGGTTATCGTCCTGTCGTAGAAGCCATCCTCTTTTCAGCTTCAGCTTTTTTTTTACAGATGGTGTGATGTTTGCTTCCAGAGTTTGCTGGAATTTAACTGAATCCATTCTTCCCTCTACCTGTGAAATGTTCCCCGTGCCACTGGCTGCAACACAAGCCCAAAGCATGATCGAACCACCTCCATGTTTAACAGCTGGACAGGTGTTCTGTTCATGAAATTCTGCACCCTATTTTCTCCAAAAATATCTTTGCTCATTGTGTCCAAAAAGTTCTATTTTAACTTTATCACTCCACAGGACTTGTTGTTAAAAAGCATCAGACTTGTTTAGATGTTCCTTTGCAAACTTCTGATGCTGAATTTTGTGGTGAGGATGCAGGACGGGTTTTCTTTTTGGTGACTTTTCCATGAAAGTCATACTTGTGCAGTTGTCACTGCACAGTAGAACAGTGCACCACCCCTCCAGAGTCTGATGAATCTTCCTGCAGGTCTTTTGCAGTCAAATGGTGGTTCTGATTTGCCTTTCTAACAATCCTTACACCTCGCTATCTTCTTATAGACTTCCCTGCTTTGTGGGGATCAGTTATTTTAGTTTTCAGAGTGCTGAGTGGCTGTTTAGAGGAGCCCATGGCTGCTGACTGTTTGGACAAGGTGTCAGGAGTCTGAGTATTTACAAAGCTTTGAAATTTCCATCATCTGGTCTTTCCTAACAATGACTGTGAACAAGCCATAGCCCTAACAAGCTAATGATGGACTGAGACCCTGGTAAAATTTGTTTGAGAGCTCAAATGTCTTGGTGTGGCCAAACTTTTGCATGGTGCTCTTTTCCTTTTTTTCCACTCTAAAATTATACAAATCAAAAATAATACACTGATCTTGCTTAAAATGTTGAAAAGAATGTTTCATCTTTAACTTCATGCCTTTTGGAGATCAGCTCATCTCCTACTCACATAACTATTCACACTAAAAGAAATTTAGACCAGGGTTGTCCAAACGTTTGCATGCCACTATATGTAGTTATACAGGTTTGACGATTTGTTGGTTAGAGCATCTTTTAGCTAATTGTTTTAGTTTTCCAGCCTGCAACTTTAACATTTAGTTCACTTTTAGCTTTGTTTTGGCTAAAAACAGGTATTGGTTTTCAGGAAAAAAAGAAAACAGCTCTGTGTACACACTTTACACTACCTACGCTGTGACAAATGGCAGAAAGACAAGTTTGGCAACTACCTGGGGAACGTATTGGAGCATTTACAGTAGCAGCTACAGTTAAAAGCCAGATATTTCCCTGAGGAGTTAGTAGACACTTTCAACAGGTGGCCAGAAGATGAGAGTCAACGGCTGCTTCAACATTAAAAAAGATCCTTGGCAAAGTGTAAAGTTAAAACAGAAAAAGCAGCTTAGATAAAATACAGACTGTATCAGAAAGTGATTTGACTCACTTCCCTTTGCTGCTTTAACTATATTATCTGCTGCTTCCTGTCAGCAATGTAACAGACAAAAACAATCTACAAATCTGCAACATTATACATGGTGCGTGTAGGTTACTTGACCCCGTGCTATTGTGTGACCAGTTTCTTTGTGCACAGCGCCATGGGCGCATAGACATAATAATTCATCCATGATCCTACTTGACATGTTGTAAGTTGCCTTCATGACACTTCAGATGATTTCCTCTGTGGCTTTATAATTACTACTAAACCAGTCAAAGGCATTTAGCTCACAGTTTTCACTCAACAGCCATAAATGCAGCTCGCAGCCATCCATTGCCCTTAATTAACGAGGAATGTGATTATCGTGATAATGAAAATGAAAATGTGTTGTGCCTTCATCCCACAATGCATCTGGGTCAGAAAAATGATTGACAGTATAATGTCAAACGTCAAGGTATCCCTGTAGCTGTGTTAAGAGGTTTGCTCTGTAACAAACAAAACAAACGGGAATATCAGGAAAAGATCAGGCTCGAGTGGTTTCAGCACCGTGGACAGCTCCAAAACACGGTTTCATTCACTCAGCAACACAAAGCAGTTTCTCGCTTTACTGTTCAACTGTGGCTCACAATCAATACCCCTCACTATCAGCTGTCAGAGTGTGGTTCAGATTTTACAGAAGCCAGATATGAGGATAGAGGCAACACTTTTACAGTGTCTTTATTGGGCTCCTGACAGCATATGTGATATGTGGAAATGAAATAGCAAATCACACCTCCTCTGTGCTTTGGTCTCTTTTTGGAAGCAAGGCTAGATAAAAATAAACTACATAATCAACTTTTTTCACTCTGGTCTTTTCACTTAACTAAATGCTTTTAATGAAAACAGCACAAATGATCACTGTAAGTAGGACTCCTGCCCCTTGCTATTGCCCACATTAGCTGGCAAATCTGAAACTATAGCCACCGCAGTGTTTATGCGTTGCTGAACCTTGCAGAACCTCCCATGTTTGAGTGTCTGAGGGTTGATAACAGGCTATTACCACAGGTAATGACCCACACACAGCCAATAAACTCTCCCTTAATGAGAACTGGGCCATAAAAAGAAAAGTCGTGCTCCATTCTGCTCCTTCCCTCTTATATTGAGAGTGTGTCTTAAAAAATACCCTTCTACCCAGGATAAGTAGCTGCCATCTCCTCACCCACAGTATATTTAATTTAACTCTCACTTTCTTCATCCATTCCTAAAGAAAAGGGACTTTTATTTTGTCGGAGGAGCAAAACAAAGATAGTTGAAGGGGGTGAGTGCAATCTTGGTTTCATTACCTTGGTATGAAATGACAATGAATAGAAAGTACAACAAACATTGCAGCTTAGTTTTCAATGAAAAAAGGATTTAGTTTGACGGAGCTCCACATGCATTGTCTTAATTTATAAAGGTTTCTGCAGTATTGGCATACTGCGGTGCTGTTGGTACATAACACAGTGCAATTCAAAAACACTGCACCAACAAGATGTGACACACGGCAGCTGCTTAAAAGCACAATATGCTGACAGCACTTCCCAAAATAATCAAAAACTCCTCACCTATGAGAGAGAGCTGTTTGGAGGATCTGGGCAGCAGGTCCATGCCATTCTTCAGCCACAGGAGTTTGGGATTTGGGATGCCGTCGGCGTGGCAGTGGAGGCTGGCAGATACGCCGGGCTCCTGGGCCTGCGTCTCTGGATAGACCAGGATCACTGGAGGGACTGGACGCACAAACACAAACAAAACCGAAGACACAAACAGGGAGAGAGAAGAGAGGCGAGTGAAAACCTAATTACACACTGTTTCATGGTAGATGGTAACTCCTGGGGGAATATAGCACAAACACCCACACACGCAGTGGGCAGAGAGGAATTTGTCTCACCCCAGCATGGAATATATTCACACATAACAAGAATCCAAGAGCTCTGGGGCTGCTTTATTACAGCTCGAGTCCTGCATGAAATAGATGTTGGACGTATCTACCACTTACCACCTCCTCCGGGGAGAAGAGCGCAAATGAATGTGGAGGAATCGAGGGGGGAAATGAAATATGAGGTAATAGTTTACAGGAACAGGTAAGATGTCGTTTTCTGGTTTTGATGCGGGGTACCTCTCAACATTGGGTCTGCTGACAAAATCCTGATGGTTGCCCCTGCCAGGAGTTCAATTACCTCTCACACTCAACTTACAACCTTGATCCTGAACCCTAATGCAATATTAATGTTGCGTGTTGCTTGTTTTGTTTTCCCTACAGTTTCATCTTACTATTATTTTAAAGTTTATTGCATACTTTAAGTGTTATCAGTTTTTGGAGTGTAACCAAATGTGTTTACTCCAGTACTGTACTTGTACTCTTACTTCCATTTTATCCTACCTTATACCTCAACTTCACCACATTTCACAGGGACATATTGTACTTTTAACACTAGTACATACAGCTGTAGTTGTTGTTACCTTCCAGATTGAAGTTTAAAGGATTTAGGGGCATCTACTGGCATATATGGTTTATAATATTCATAGTATGTTTTCATTAGTTTATAGTCACCTGAAAATACAATGTTTAAGTTACCTTAGAATGAGCCATTCGTATGTACTGTACATACACAGCTGTTGAGTTCACCATGTTGTTTCTACATCAGCTCTGAATGGACAAATCAAACACTGGCTATAGATAGGGCCATTTGTATTTCATGTTTTTGTGTTGGCTGCCGTATTTCTTCTACACATTTAGCATACAAGAGAAGTTTCAGTTCAGCAACTTCAACGCTATACGCTCCTAACTTAACGTAAATTGTTTTAGTAAGGAGCCCTAGCTTAGGAGTGATTTAGGGAAGTTCTCAGAGCAACTCTGAGCAAGGATGGGACATGAACTTTTTTAGTGAGGAGGTGTGGTTGACCTCGTTGCTAGGTATGAGGCATTGTTTTAACAGATGTGATTGGTTGTCACAGACGCGCCCTTTTGTGAGCCTGCAAGGTGTGGACACCCAGTGGAAATGAAATGAACTGCTGACTGTTAAAGTGTTGTCATTGTTAGTGTGATCACTCTGCTGATGGAATGTTGAGACAGACTTAAGTCACCACTGCTGCACTGTTGCATTTTTCCAGTTTTCCAAGTATCTTAGAGTTGTGATAATTGTATCTCTGGTGTTATAGCGTTAGGTGGGAAATGTGTGCGTACCCCTAATGAGATAAGTCGCATATTATCCAGACACAATCTAATCTGTAGCCTTTCATTAACTAACTTTTGGATAATATTTCTCCTTCCTAGTTTTTCACCTTAGGAGCTCTTTTAAGGTCTAAGATGCTCTGCTAATTACTTGTATCTTTACAAGGACCGAGTCTCAATTTTAAGGGGAAATTGTAAGAAAACATCACAATTCTAAGACTTTTCTTAGAATTTTGTCACCAGTAGCAACTCTTTGAACTAGGAAGCTTTGTGAATACAGCTCCAGACCTTTAACATTCAATTTGTAATGAACTTATAGAATATAATGCATTGTTAAAGATTAAACCAGCTCCTTCCAACCTGTTTGATTTGTGACCCCTTACAAACAGCAGTCTGGGCTCCTCTCAGGTGTCTATGAGTTGTTGGCAGTTTCACCAAAGAGACATTTCCCCTTTAAACTTGTCAGATTGTTTTAAAACTGTTTAAGGCTCAAAGAGTTCAAATTATCTAAAAGTTTACATAAAAGCAATGATTAGAGAAAAGTCTAAAATATGAACAAATTATTGTATCAGAACTTTCCTTTTGGTTCTTTCTTCTAGCATTATTTACCACATGACTCCCCAGACATATTGTGCAGATCTTTGGAGGGGCCTGACATCTACATTGGGAACCAGTTAACTAAACAACCTAAATGTACAGTACAGGCCAAAAGTTTGGACACACCTTCTCATTCAATGCATTTTCTTTATTTTCATGACTATTTACATTGTAGATTCTCACTGAAGGCATCAAAACTATGAATGAACACATGTGGAGTTATGTACTTAACAAAAAAAGGTGAAATAACTGAAAACATGTTTTATATTCTAGTTTCTTTAAAATAGCCACCCTTTGCTCTGATTACTGCTTTGCACACTCTTGGCATTCTCTCCATGAGCTTCAAGAGGTAGTCACCTGAAATGGTTTTCCAACAGTCTTGGAGTTCCCAGAGGTGTTTAGCACTTGTTGGCCCCTTTGCCTTCACTCTGCGGTCCAGCTCACCCCAAACCATCTCGATTGGGTTCAGGTCCGGTGACTGTGGAGGCCAGGTCATCTGCCGCAGCACTCCATCACTCTCCTTCTTGGTCAAATAGCCCTTACACAGCCTGGAGGTGTGTTTGGGGTCATTGTCCTGTTGAAAAATAAATGATCGTCCAACTAAACGCAAACCGGATGGGATGGCATGTCGCTGCAGGATGCTGTGGTAGCCATGCTGGTTCAGTGTGCCTTCAATTTTGAATAAATCCCCAACAGTGTCACCAGCAAAACACCCCCACACCATCACACCTCCTCCTCCATGCTTCACAGTGGGAACCAGGCATGTGGAATCCATCCGTTCACCTTTTCTGCGTCTCACAAAGACACGGCGGTTGGAACCAAAGATCTCAAATTTGGACTCATCAGACCAAAGCACAGATTTCCACTGGTCTAATGTCCATTCCTTGTGTTTCTTGGCCCAAACAAATCTCTTCTGCTTGTTGCCTCTCCTTAGCAGTGGTTTCCTAGCAGCTATTTGACCATGAAGGCCTGATTGGCGCAGTCTCCTCTTAACAGTTGTTCTAGAGATGGGTCTGCTGCTAGAACTCTGTGTGGCATTCATCTGGTCTCTGATCTGAGCTGCTGTTAACTTGCCATTTCTGAGGCTGGTGACTCGGATGAACTTATCCTCAGAAGCAGAGGTGACTCTTGGTCTTCCTTTCCTGGGTCGGTCCTCATGTGTGCCAGTTTCGTTGTAGCGCTTGATGGTTTTTGCGACTCCACTTGGGGACACATTTAAAGTTTTTGCAATTTTCCGGACTGACTGACCTTCATTTCTTAAAGTAATGATAGCCACTCGTTTTTCTTTAGTTAGCTGATTGGTTCTTGCCATAATATGAATTTTAACAGTTGTCCAATAGGGCTGTCGGCTGTGTATTAACCTGACTTCTGCACAACACAACTGATGGTCCTAACCCCATTGATAAAGCAAGAAATTCCACTAATTAACCCTGATAAGGCACACCTGTGAAGTGGAAACCATTTCAGGTGACTACCTCTTGAAGCTCATGGAGAGAATGCCAAGAGTGTGCAAAGCAGTAATCAGAGCAAAGGGTGGCTATTTTGAAGAAACTAGAATATAAAACATGTTTTCAGTTATTTCACCTTTTTTTGTTAAGTACATAACTCCACATGTGTTCATTCATAGTTTTGATGCCTTCAGTGAGAATCTACAATGTAAATAGTCATGAAAATAAAGAAAACGCATTGAATGAGAAGGTGTGTCCAAACTTTTGGCCTGTACTGTATATAATGTTTAACATAAAGAAAATAACATTTCACCTCCACCAACCACACCAGATAAGTAGGATTTTGAATGCAGGTCTTCTACTTAAAGTGGAATATATTTTTCACCATGGTATCACTATTTTATGTCTACTTCATCTGCTATAGATTTTTTCTCATACGTTATCTATCAACATCTCACTCAGACACACACATTAGCCAGTAACACACCAATATCTCTTCCTCGCCCACACAAGTACATCTACTGGCACTCACGCCTCACCTTCAGCCTGTCTAAAGTCTCTGTTATTTTATGTGTTCTGTCAAATCTATCTGTTATATGACTTCTTCTGCCTTTCTATCAAAACAGTACTTTGTTACAGAAAATCTTCTTTTCTTTTATTATTTAACAAGTATGTACTTGACATTGCAGAAACATTCTTCAACAGCATTGATACCATATTCTAGGGTACTATAATAACACAGAGAAGAGTACTAGACTGGGACTGAAACCGCAGCGCTGTCATTCCTCTCATCACAGTAAAAACAGAAGCATGCGTGTTATTCCTTTAACACAATACGATGCTCAGCGTCCACTTAGTTTAATGTGGCACTTGGCTCCCTTCCATTCCACCTTATCGCACCCCGTCCTATCTCGCTTGAAATACCTCGAATCTCCCACACAAACATTTGGTAATTGCCCTCTGCTGATAACTTGCCCTTCAGGACCCGAGTCTGTCTCCATGACTCCCTTCCCATCACTCCCTTTTCCTCTTTGGTTCAAGGTCTAAAATTCAGCTGTGTTTCTTTTCAATTAGCATCTTAGAAAAACAAAACAATCACACCTATTGTCTCTTTTAGAAGAGATTTAATTGAGTTCATTTTCCTTTCTTTGCCACCCTGAGACAGAAGCACACAAATTAGGGAAGCTGTATTTTTTACTTGTTATGCTACAGGTAGGAAGGCTTTAAAAATTCTTCCTCCATGGATTTTCTCTGGAGAGATGCCTAGTACTAACTCTCAACTCTAAAGGTAAAGGAGGAAAGACCTTTGTGCAGATGATTAATATGAGCAAGACAGCACTTTGATAAGTTCAGCCTGCCAAAATCAGCATGAGAGTAGCTTTGAGATGTATTTCAGCTTTAAGTAGCTTTTCTCCCCTGCATAGAATCAGGTGAATATGCTGCATGCACACGAACAGTGTTCAACCTCATGTATGCAGTGATGGATTTCGTGGCTTTGATGGAATTCTTTGACAGTTGAGATCCTGTGAGGTGGGTGTGTAACGAACATAGTTTCACAGATACTTTTTATCTATATGGAAACTGATTGCTTTGACAGAAATGCCAAACTTTTGTGGGTTCAGGCTTTTTTAAACATAAGGATTGATGCATGTCTCTGTCATAAATGACAGAAACAGTCTTTTTTATTTTTTAAACAGGACAATCTGAGAAAATATACGGGGCATTTTCACATTTTTATAGACAAACAAATAATCAATTATGATTATTATTATCTACAAAGTAATCATTATTGCAGCCTTAGATAAGACGTAATAATGTAAGAGACAAATACAAAAATGAAGTACGAAAAAAAGGCCTTGCAATCAACACTCAATCCTCATAAACTTTAGGTCTTGCAAATCCTTAACACCAGATTGCATCTGTTAGTAATCATTTGCCGCCATTTCATTTTTTTCACTGTCAATATAAATGTTCACACAATGCATTAACACTGCTTTTGAAAACCCCAGTGAGTCCTGTCACTTCATTAAAGGTGACAAATAGTACAACGTGTGATGGTAACATTGGACAGCTTGAACTCTGGCACACTGTTTAACTTGCAAAACTAATGATTTTAATGCTGCAACGTTAGACCAACCGATGAAGGTCTAGTCACCGAAACGTTGCAGCAATTTAGACAAGTGTGCGGGAGTTTTTTCTACAAGTCGTGTTCTGCTCGTCCCTCTCCAATGCACCTGTTTGGAAATAGATGTGCAAAGTATTCCTCTGTTCAGCATTGGATAACTGACAACTTGGTAGTGGCAGAGAGGCCTTCAATTCACTCTTTGATCCTTTTCGATTGTCATTGCTGCTGTCGCTCTTTGACTTTTCAAACAGTTTCCCTCAAAGTCCCTAAAATTATGTGGTTTGCACACCAGGTTTACCTGTACCCCAAGGGCTACTTCTGCAGCTATAATTAATATGGCAAAAATATTGACAAAATTGAAATGGTAAAAAAGAAATATATCATATCTACACACATTTGTGTTATAAGGAAATGTATATGAGGCTGATAACTAAATGGTTAAAATGTCCAGGTTTCACCACATAAAGTGATAGCAATACATAGGCACAACTGGTCAAATCCACAGATGGGGAGAAGATGGGGAACAAGGCTTAACATTGTCAGTTGCAGGATCAGTATGTCTTGTATGGATTTACATGTGTCAAGAACCCACCACTGCTTGTTGTGTTTTCAAGGATTTTTGTGTTTTTTATATGGATGGAGGTCAACAGGGGTATTTGAGCCCCTCTGAAAAGCCTGACAAAAACATTGGGAACCACATATGACAACGCTGGACTCACTTTATTTATGATAACCTTTGTTTCCAGACATTTCTGTCAACTGCATGTTGGCTTAATTGCTTTTGGAGCTGTTCTAAAACTGTTTTTCACTGTAAGCAGGAAAGGCAATGAGAAAAAGATCCCTTCACTGGGGAGCCACAGTGCAGCACAAACAAAACTAAAGCATTTTGTCCACCACTGTAAGTAAGAAATGAGCCACTACTGACCATTCACCTGCAGCACATGTGTCTGATAGAGGTCTTCATAGCCGTAGGCATGGCAACTGTAGTTCCCCATGTGGATGGTTGTCACCTTGGTGATGTACAGGGAGCCATCGTCCCCAAAGTCCTGTAATACAGGAAAGAGATGGATAAGGAAAATTAAGTAAAGAAAGAAGAGGCGGGGGTGCGGATGAAAAAGCACAAGATAGGGAGAGGAGGAGAAGGGAGGAGGAACGGGAGGAAAGAAGGGAGAGGAAGAACAGGAGGTGTAGGAGAGGGAATAGCGGTGAAGAATGGGGTGCAGGAAAGAGCCACAGGGAGTGAGGGAGAAATGAAGGTAGCTTGATAGAATACATAAGGATGCTTGGAGAGAACAGGGAGAGGAGAAAGGAGGCACACAGCAGCAGGGAGTGATGGGAAAAGACAAGAGAGAAAAAGAGTGATGCAAAAGGGAAGAGAGACCATGAATCAATGGTTTCCCTGTTGAGCTGAAGCAGGCGTTAGGGGATTTGATCCTCCTCTCTCCCCTCATCACGCTGCCTCAGCCTGATAAATGGCAAGGGTTAAAAATATAAAGCCCATTAGGTTGATGAATGGAGCTGGTTGTTGTTGGTGCAGCATGCAGCAGTCACCAGGGGGTTCCAGCCACAGCTTAGGGCGGATTAAGGCATTAAATAGTTTGCTGTCCCACCAAGTGGCAGAGCAGATGTCCTGATGCAGCTCTGTCGTGACACGGAAACCACAAACGGCTGCTTCCAGTCTGAGGGCTCTAGAAATTAATGTGACCTGACAGAGGGTCGCTTTGTGACAGGAGAATGCGAAATGACTTTCTTGTAGGATAGACGAGGGAGTTTAAGCAGCTTTTAAAGTTCAGAATTTACAATTAAGGTGAGACATACAACTGCACTAGTGAGGGCAATTAAAACAGAATGGGCCATTTGGGTTAAAAAGTATGACTTTAATATATCTGGCAGGTTGCGCCAAATATAATTCAGTCTAAAAACTTAACTCTCAGTTGTGGTTGCTGTGATAAAAGGAGCATCAGTAGGGCTGTGTCCTCAACAGCAATTATTCAAATCATCATTTGAGGTGCTCTGAAATCTCACCTCATGTTGTGAGTTTAACCATCAGACTTTATGCCGACTACACTTAGTTCAAACCAAATTGTATTTGCATTAAAGAAGGGTGAGCAGGGTTTCATTTCTTTTACTGTGCACTAATCTGGTGTTTTCATATCACAGATATGACAGTAAAGACACTTAAAGTATCACAAGTAAAACATAGGATCTGATATGTTGATATGTTAAAAGAATTTATTGTGGGGCCACTTGTTGCTCAGCAGGTGAGCTTGACTGCAGTGTGAGGGCTCATTTAAGCCCAGTTTCCACCAAACACTTTAGGTATGGTAACCAAAAGTAACTCTTCAGACATGGTACCTAGACTGTAGTGTTTCCCCTGCAAACAGTACCCTTAAATGTGGGCGGGGTTGTTGTCACTCACTGCTCCATCCAGCACTCACTGTATTCCCTTATTACTGGTGACACAGATGGAAGTATGCACCTCATTTATTGTCCACAGAATGAGGTTGCACGGCGACATTTTCTGAACAAAATAAAACAGACTGAAGTGAGTCTCTCTCCATGACATATCTAAAAATAGTGGGTTTATGCATTTAGTCCTTCTAAGACAAACTCAGGGATGTAGTGTTGCTGTAGCCCACAGGAACGATGATCCGCAATGCTTTTTTTTCTCCTCCGAATGAGGATCAGGACATATGCAGTCCTGGTTGAAATTAAAATGTACAAACGCTTGGAGATCCACTCATTACTAAAAGTGTATGTCATTTAAAAAGTAATGAAATGGTCGAAGTTGTCACAGTGAAATTAAAGGTGTGCTGATGGATTCGCGTCATCAACTCATGCATTGAGTAACATTACAAGTTAACGTTCCACCTTAAAATTCGCCAGCAGTTGGCCCAGTAAATGAAGTTATTTTTTTCTCAGACTACAGCTGCTGCGAGAGGCAGCAAAACATCCTTTCATTTTATAGTTACAGTCTACTTATAAAACTCTCCACGGTATGACCAGTGGTTACATGAGCTTCAAAACCAGCCACAGCTCAGCCCTGAGCAGAGTGACCGTCTGCTATTGACCAATCAACGGACTGCAGTGTTCACAGCTCCACCTTTTAGCACTGGATCTGTGTGCTAGGTACCCCAACAGAGAGGTGACCAAAAATGGGGACATTACAGAAGGGTTAGTGTACCAAACTGAACTGTACCATACCGTACTGCTCGGTGGAAACAGGGCTTTATGAATTTGCTAAATTTGACTAAAAATCAATAAGTTGTCTTTTGTCTGATCTGTGAGCCTGCAGTGTGTCTGGTTGGCTCTTGTCTTTCATGAAGACATGAATGTAAATGAAAGATTTTGATCTGCACAGCTCCTCTTCACGTAATAGGAACAGGTGTCAATTTTTGAGTTCATGAAATGTATTGATGGTCTTAGGAGAAATCTCATACCAGGAAATTACAGGCTGTTATTTTCATTCAGGTTAAATTATAGGTTTTTATAATGGGAAAAGGTGGAAGAAAAATACAGGAAGATGCCCAGTGGCTACATTCAAATGAGTAAAATTTAAGTCACTCTCTGAAATTCTGCATTTCAGATGCAGCACTTCATTCATGTCTCCTTTGACCTATTCTCCAATAGTAATCATCATTGCTTTTTCATCATACACAGAATAGTACTGACGCAATAAACATCCGCATGCATACTCTTAAGAGCAACATTCATTGTATGTTTACCAAGTGGTAGCAATGTGCATGCAAATGAAAGTAGCTGTGTAGTATTTGTTTTTAATAAAATAAATATACATAATTCATTTCATTTCTGAATGAATCTGCTTCCAATCTCACTCGGACATAAGACTCTTTGGCTGATGGGCGGCAGTAGCTACAGTATATGGCTGTTCTGTCTGTGTCTGTTTGTAATACAGCTTGTGGCTTTTTGATCTAATGCAATCAAACGTGGTGAAGCAGGTCTGAACCCCCAAATATACACAGTGAAGTTACTTTGTGGAGAACATAGCTCTATTCAAAATGTAAAATACCAAGTTTTGATTGAAAGTTAAAAAAAACAAAAAACAAAAAAACAGAAAGAAACACAACGAAAAGCAATACAGTGGAAAGAAAGGTGGGCAGAGAGAGGCAGACAGAAAACAAAGACCAAAAAGAGACTTTGAGAGAGCAGACAAATAAGACTGATTGTAATGGAGGCTCAGCTCTCAGGTTTAGGGGTTATATGCCAGAGTGCAGAAAACTTTTCATCACTGTCAAATGAAACGTCTGAAAACAAGCCTGTTTCCATTCAGCACAGTTCAACAGAGGAAAATGGTGGGCTGAGAGGACTTTGACAGGAGAGTAAGGTCCCCCTCCCTCCTTTAACCCCAGCGCCTCTTTGACCTGCATTGTTCAGAGCTGACTTGTTGAAGAAAGAACACAAGTTCTGTATTCATTTTCCACTCATTGTTTTTGGTTACTCTTTGACACTCTATTTCATTGCGATTTCACTATTATAACAGATGAGACTGCATAGAATCATTGTAGTAATGTAGTGTAGTGTGTAGGCTTGGGTGGTATCAAGACATAATAGTACAGCAGGTATTTCAAAGGTATAATTTTCAATAAGGTCACACATACAGATGCTCCGCTTTCTATTAAACTGATACGGAGATACTGTATTGTAGCATTGTATTGTAGTGCACAGTACGCACCACAAGAGGTCAGTCTTTATTGGTTAAACAGGCAGCTGAACTTAAAGAGATGGTGACTGCAGGTGGTGGAGAGTATTGCTGCATGTAACTTTAACATGAGATGACTTCTTCCAACTACAAAAGCTGATGTCATTTAACACATGGGGCTCTAGTTTCCCGGCGCAGCGCAGGGTGGTGAACCCTGCGCAGAGCTAGTTTCGAGCAGCGCAACCCGAGGCATGCTCAGTTTGGTAGTTTGGCAGACCGAGGTGCGCTGAGATGGGTGTGGCAGCGCAGCAGGGGGAGGTGTTGACAGATCCAGCTTGGTGCAGTGACAGTTTCGTGCTAAAAAGGTTCGCCAAAGGTGCGCTAAAAGCTCGGCAGCTGAAACCAGGTTTACTGTCAGCGCAGGTGGAGCGCAGCCGGTGTAGTGGAAGTTTGGCTGACCGGCAGACAGTACGCACACATCACCAAAACCTCACAGGCAGGTTTCCAGAATATCAGGCACATTAACAATGCAATAAATAGCCCAAAAAACACTATTCAATGCAACTATCTGCAATCAGCACATAAATGTATCTCTATATTGACTCAGTGTATCCAGGCAACATTGATTTCCAATTGTGGTGACCTCCTCCCAGGCTACCTTTGCATCATCAGTCCGTGGAGGTCTGCTCATAGTTCCGTATATTCGGACACTGCGAGCTTGGACCTCCCGGACCAAAACATCAGTTTCCTCCTGGGAGAAGTTTGGCCGTCTGACGCTGCTGCTCTTTTCTGCCATGGCGAATTGAGTAAACTCTCATTACGCCTTCGCGCAACGCATTTAAGGGCGAGGAGAGGGGCTCATTTGATTGGTGTGATGTGTGTAAAACCCACTCCACGCCTTCTCTCCTCCCTCTTTCCGACTTGCGCAGGTAGGAGGGACGGAGGTGGGAAAGGGGAGTAGCTGCGCCAGGCGCACGGTGTGCCAAACTTGCAAAATCCGCGTGGCCACACCCATTTGGCGAAGCGCACCTGCGCTGTGCCTCCGCCTCGCCCGGTCTGCGAAACTAGAGGCCATGGACTCTGTTCAGCTCACTGATGTGTTGGTATACATCGCAGAGACAAGTGTCATTGGGTCCTCGAGCAAAAAGAGAGCTTATTATTATTTAAATATAGCAAAACTCTGAGTAGGCTAACTGCATATCATTGTAGAAACACAGCATCTTAGGTTAGACAATTGACCCTTTGCTAAGTCCCGCCCCAGACGCAACTGACTAATCCTGTGCTCCTTTGACTCTGATGCAATCATTTCAGATTTCCATTTTCAGGCTGGTTTTGTTGATTTCGAGCTAAATGTTATGCCTGAGGCACGTCGTATATTCATGACATTTCTTACCTGGAGAGGTTGCAAAAAGATATACGTTTCTTTCCTGTTCCCAAACCAAAATCAAACCCTGAAAAGTGTAGGGTTAGCTAGCTAGCTCCTTAAAATATAGCCTGCTGAATGTATACACATGCTGCTTTTGCTTTTTAATGATTATAACATTGAATATAGACCATACCTGCTCTAAAGACCGCTAAAGACACAATATTGTCTTATTATACTGAACACCCTGGTGAAATGTGAGGAAGGTATGAAAAAATAGATACCACCCAAGCCTCTTAGTGTGAGCACTGTATAATGTTTGCTGACTAGTCAACTTTTCTGTCGATATGTGCTATAGATTCAGTGCTTCATATTAACACAGCATATGCTTAAAGATAAATGATTAATGTATTGTGGCATGTACATTAATACATTTCTAAAGCGAAGCTTGTATTTAAATGTTTATCTTCTGCCCTTAATGGACTCTGGGTATGGACTTTTTTGGGCACTCTCATTACTTAACAGAAAATATATATCCTTTATTAGACCAGGAAGTCTATTAAAATACAAAATCTTATGTACACCAGGCAGTTGTTCAAACTGGCCACAAAAACTTGACAGAGTGCTTTAAATTTTCTTTGTCTTTTTTTTTTAACCTCCTATGCACACAGAAATTCCACACACAACGAAACACTGAGGTCACCTCTCTTGTCAGTTTAAAATTTTTTGTTTAATCTATGATTTGACTGAAAAGAAAACCAAACCCAGACAGGGCCTCTCTCTCTCCCTCCTCCACTCAGATCACTGTGTTCTGTGGAAATTCATTATGCACGGTCAAGAGCCCGAGGGACCTCTGTTGCCATCGCCTCTCCTCCAGTCTCCACCTTAACACTTGACATTGTTTATCGGTTCATCATCACAGCAGACCAACAAGGCCGCTCATTAACATGCAATTAGTGAATTGTGATCCGGTGGTGGGTAGAGCAAGGCCAGCGCTGTGCTGTCACCTGTGCAGATGTGTCTAAACTGGAGCATGCCCACATAGTTCATTAAGCACTGAGCAAGCTAGCAGAAAATTCTACAGTTTAATGAAGAGGGCTAGGGAGTAAAATGTTTCTTTTGGTTTGATTTCCTTCCTTGTTTTTTTTGTTTTTTTTCTTGCTACTATTTTTCAGCCCCTCCTCATGTCTTCTCTTGTTTAAGGCAATTCATGGTTTCCGTGTCTGCGAGGCTCAGCATAACATAAACTTTGTCATCTGCCAAAATATACAAATATTTTCACAGTGTCCTGTGTGGATGTTGGCATGGAGGCCAACATTTTGGATGCTTCTTTTGTGCTCTTTTTACTGTATTCCCAAATTTTGTAGCTATCACCATCAACTGCAGTTCCACCATCATTAATGACAGCAGCAAACTACAACAACAGCCATGATGAAGAGAACAAAAGCATGCACTTACGTTGATATCCTCCAGATCCAAGAAGTTCAATATGATGCCGTTCCTCTTCCAGATGATTGGTGGGCGCAGTGTCCCCTGGATGGCACAGGTTAGGACAGCACTGAGGCCCACTGTTACCGTGGAGACACTGATCTGCTGATCCTCTGCCAGGCTCAGCTGGACAACCTCTGTTACAATGAGAGTATGAAGAGAAATGATTAGTGTTGAAGAGGGAGAACGGATGACACTGAGGTGAATAAGAGATGATAGTAAGAAGAAAAGATTTAGAAAAATGACAAGATAGAGGGAAAAAAGGAAGCAGAGAAAATCACAAATCAGAATGAGTGTGCTGATGTAGTGGAACTGTAGCCAAGCTGCAAGCATCCATCTCATTACTAGTGGACCAGGGAGGATAAACAGCTGTCCGGGAGTGAAGGATATCCAGTATGAAAAAAGACCACGTGTCAGAGGACACGCAGCTAGCCAAATATCATTCTTCTCATTAAGGGAAATTTATGTTCATTGAAATGGCCATCCAATTCAATTCACCTTTACGGCAAATTAAGAATTATTCTTCACTGGTTCCCCTTGGCGCCATAAATACTGACTGTCGCCAAGCTGTGTGGCCAAGCACAAAATCTACAGTCATAGTTACAGTCTGGAAACTTTGTCATCTACTGAACATTTTTCTTATTGTCAGTTTAAACTTCCATTGTTTTAACTAGACATAAAACAGTGTCTTTGCAGCAGAATGGGCTCTGCAAGTGTCATGTATCCTCACTATTAACTCTATTTCTTCTTAAGTTACAACACCGTCTAATTCTTCAACTTTCTCCATTAAAACAAAATCTCTGTACTCACAAAATATGCTTAAAAATAATGGTGTTTTTGTCAGTTTTGACAGCAATGAATAGGTATAATATTGGGATAAGAGCAGAAGTATGCTGTGGAGATATTGTGTAAATGTGGGTCTCAGGCACGCCTGCAGTGACATGATATATGTCAGTGTGTGACCCTGGGTCAATATTGGCTGGGGACAGGATATACTTGGCTCAATAAATAAAGAGACACAGACGCCTGATAGAAATCTAAATGGAGCCATCCAAGCGTAACACTGAGCAAATCTCACACAAGGCATTTACTGGACTGATGCTATTAACTGCCCTTGCTGTGTGACTTTTCAGTGCCGAAATACTTAAAAAAAAAAAAGATGACACCTTTAAGGATCTTATTAGAGCAACAATAAAAAAGAGAGACAAGAGCAGGGAAATTTAAATCTGTCATTATGCCTGGAAAATGAACATCAATAGATAATACAGATGCTGGGATTTGCAGAATAAATACTAGTACAGGATATTAAGCACAAAGAAAAAACACAACACCAAAGAAAGAGCAATTCAGACTAATTATCCTGCTTACATTGGTGAGCAATTTCCCCTATATAAATTAACTGAACATACAAAATTATATACATCATATCTATTTATGTCAAATCAGTAATATCCCACTCAGTACAATAAATATTCTGATGTATGTACTTATTCCAGTCAAAATAAAATGAGCATCTGCTGGGAAATATAAAATCTGCATGAAATACAGTCATCATGATGGCATCATCTTAATGATGTGGTTTTAGATGTTGCAAAGAAATAGAGCTTAATGATATGTGATCATGATGATCCTGCGCTTATAACTCAATCAGCTGATTTGTGTGTTCCTGCTATTCACTTAAAAACCAATTTCATTTAGCCACAAACTATGTTAACCAATCATCTTGTTACTGTCAGGCTTGAAAACTGTCCTTTCACAGCGGGGGTTGTTTATTTCTTCCAGCTCCCATAATTAGGAAAGCAGTGCCAAGCATGGCATCTGTCCAACACAGAGCTGCTCTCGGATCACAAATTAAGTTGCAAGATAAACTACACTCACTATGTTGATATAGGTTTCATGTAGTATACATTAATATACCATCAGCATGTTTGTGCTGAGAAACTTCTAAATTTCCTAACTTGTGCTCCCTCTCTGGTGCCACAACTCTATCAATTCTATCACAACCTCTAATGGCTGAAAAACAGTGATAAGGCCAGTATCACCACAAAGTTTCATCTCAACAACCACATGGAGCAATATTTCATTGTCCAAATACGCTTCAAGTAGATGGCTAACAGACTTTGAAATGTTTGTGCGGAACTTCCTGTCCGGATCCAGACTTTGACAAACGCTGTTGTAAAAGACCCCTGGATATTAGCTGTCTGTTTCACATGGCTCTCCAGGTGATAGATATATCCAGGGTGACAGCTCAGTCTGTCGGTGATATTTCAGAATGCCTTGGGTACAGTGCACTGCCAGGTCCAACAAAGTTATAATTCAGCAGAGCAGTAATTTGGGTGGCAGAACAGGCTTTGAGTGCCATGTGGACAGATGAGGGATGAAATGCATTGATCTGACATGGCTTGGAGGGGTGGTTCCAAGGTGGTACTGTGCATTTTAACTACACCACATCTCACAATAAATTGAATACAGTGCATGGGAGTAAGCCGTGTGGTTTGCTGTGTCTTTCTGCAGCAGCTGGCTGTTCAGATGGGCAGCTGGTACGACTTAATATTGATTCTTATGAGGTATAAAAGTAGGTGTACAGTTTTAAAAGTTTGCTGGCAAGGACCGTTTCTTCAAAGTTCAGTCAGATTAGAAGTACAAACTGTAATTAATAGACTATGGCAAATAAAACACTGGCTACTGTGAAGGACAGGGCTGCTTTTGATAGCTACAGTAAATAAGCAAATGCTGCCACAATGAAATTCGGGTGCAAAAAAAGCAGTTGGAGATTTTTAATTTTAATTCCAGAGTTAAAAAACTGCTACTAAAAAAAAAGAGAAAATAGGTTTCTATAAACTTTCTAAGTCATCTTGAAACTTTTGTGGACCTGATAGTTGTGTTTTTGAGGGCTGACTCCAGTCTGATGTTGAAATATTGACCGGTGAGTTTCAGATAGCACTGTGTTTATCTGGTTTTGGAATGAACACCGTCATTTTACTACACTGACAGCGGTGATAAGATAACCTTCAGCTCACAGCCCCCAATGTAGGGCTGTTACACTGCTGAATACATACCAAATCAAACAGGAAATGTTCCATAAATTCAAAATGGGCAGCAGTGTCTAAATAATTCCAACAAATGTGCCAACTCTTCATACTGTATGAGGTCAGTCTAAACTTTCAAACTTTCAGCTGATGTAATAGTCTTCACTTTTAATGTCTGCCTGAAAGGTCATACTAAAAAAAAAATATCTACCTCCACGAAAGACAGACCAGTGCTAAAATTAATCCTGATGCCGTCCAAACTTAATCTACTGAGGTTACAATTATGAAACCAAGAAAAGAGAGAAAATGCCCTGCCTTATTTATGTTGTGAAAAAAGGTGTGTAATATTAGTTAGAAAATATATTGGTTGCTGTTAATGTCACTTTTCTAGATCTATTACCTCTTTTCGTCAGTCATGGGCTGGATTGGCTTGGCTTGGCTTGGCTTGGTTTGGGCTGGCTGGTCGATGGCTCAAGTCCCTAGATATTTTTGCTGCATGTGTTTTTCCACAGCAGGGCAGGTAAAAGAAGTTTACCTGCTGGAGGTGAGCTGTTTGCAGAGGTGCAGTAAGAGCCTGTTGTCTGCAGCTCATCATCAACATCTCACTGTGGCCGTTTCTGATTTAACTCTTCCTCGCTGCACCCTTATTAGACTTGCCTTTGTTGAAGAAAAGACGCTAACAAAGTTCTGCTAATTAGGTAATAACACATTTCATTTCCTATAGATTCTTCACAATAAAAGTGGTTATTTTCTTATGTATAAACTTTTATTGTGAAGCAGCAACATAAGGAAATTTGAGTTTTCAAGCAGCAACTTCACACAAACATAAACAGTAAATTAAAGCAGATATCTAAAGGAAAGACAGGATGCAGGAGAGAAACTAAACTCTAAACCACAGAGATTTAGTTAGCTACTAAAAAGTACCGAGAGCTGAACACACAGAGACTTTTAAAATGCCTTTCTCTCTGGTCTCCTGCACACTCCTGGGGAGTAGAAGGGGGGATGTCGGGAATTGGCTGCGGTCAGCGAGACGCCATTTCCACTGCGGCGTGGCATGGCACGTCTGAACTGACAATGGAAACACAAATTGCTGCAGCATTGCTTTACTCGGCGCGGCCAAGAGAGACAATGGAAAAAGGGTATACAGTACAGGCCAAAAGTTTGGACGCGCCTTCTCATTCAATGCGTTTTCTTTATTTTCATGACTATTTACATTGTAGATTCTCACTGAAGGCATCAAAACTATGAATGAACACATGTGGAGTTATGTACTTAACAAAAAAAGGTGAAATAACTGAAAACATGTTTTATATTCTAGTTTCTTCAAAATAGCCACCCTTTGCTCTGATTACTGCTTTGCACACTCTTGGCATTCTCTCCATGAGCTTCAAGAGGTAGTCACCTGAAATGGTTTTCCAACAGTCTTGAAGGAGTTCCCAGAGGTGTTTAGCACTTGTTGGCCCCTTTGCCTTCACTCTGCGGTCCAGCTCACCCCAAACCATCTCGATTGGGTTCAGGTCCGGTGACTGTGGAGGCCAGGTCATCTGCCGCAGCACTCCATCACTCTCCTTCTTGGTCAAATAGCCCTTACACAGCCTGGAGGTGTGTTTGGGGTCATTGTCCTGTTGAAAAATAAATGATCGTCCAACTAAACGCAAACCGGATGGGATGGCATGTCGCTGCAGGATGCTGTGGTAGCCATGCTGGTTCAGTGTGCCTTCAATTTTGAATAAATCCCCAACAGTGTCACCAGCAAAACACCCCCACACCATCACACCTCCTCCTCCATGCTTCACAGTGGGAACCAGGCATGTGGAATCCATCCGTTCACCTTTTCTGCGTCTCACAAAGACACGGCGGTTGGAACCAAAGATCTCAAATTTGGACTCATCAGACCAAAGCACAGATTTCCACTGGTCTAATGTCCATTCCTTGTGTTTCTTGGCCCAAACAAATCTCTTCTGCTTGTTGCCTCTCCTTAGCAGTGGTTTCCTAGCAGCTATTTGACCATGAAGGCCTGATTGGCGCAGTCTCCTCTTAACAGTTGTTCTAGAGATGGGTCTGCTGCTAGAACTCTGTGTGGCATTCATCTGGTCTCTGATCTGAGC